GATTATGACAGCATGACGACCTATCTGGAACGACCTAGTGGATGTGTGCCACCCCCTTTTATGTCTAATTTAGTTTTTGTTTTCTGTTTTTGCAATATGTCGACCATTAGGCTGGAGTAGAGGGAGGAAGTACAGGAAGTACAGGAAGTGCAGGGGAGGTGGGATGATTGCCCATGACGCGGCAGTAAGTGACGATAAATCATAAACGAAACATCAATTCCAGCACTTGACCCTTAAGAGAAAGTCCTGCTGCTTCCTCAAATGGACGAAACATCTTTCATCATATTTTTAAAAGAAAATAAGCTAGCTTCTTCCCTTAATCTCCTTCTCTCTAATATGGCATATCCTGGTCACGTGTCCTTGGCTTTCTTTTGCAAATTAATTAATTGCCACAAGGATGAAGCCTGATAGAAGCAAAAGGCGTTGGAGGAAGATTGATTAAGAGACAGGCCACCACGATAACCCTTCAATGGAGCTGTCAACTTATCTATCACGCCAACAGCTAGAAAGGTTTAGAACTTACTTTCTATTTTCTTGACTTCATATGCAGTGGAAAATATTCTTAAGAGTCTAAGAATACTTAAGTTTTGAATAGCTTTCCAAAGTAGTTTAGTCCCTTTAAGTAGTATCAGGGAAATAGTTTCCAGTTTGCCAGTTTGGGCTTCAATTAAGGGGATACCACATTACTCTGTTGTCTTTATTATTTTGATTAATATTAGACTTTTGATTTTATTTAGGATAATTGAAAATTAAAATTAAGTCTCACTTATTTTCCCTGGTGTAATTTCTTTCCCATCCCCTCAGTCTTTCTCTGACTATTTCGTTTCTGATGATTTATCGACATTTGTGCGGAAATCGCTGTGCCAAAAGCCAAAACGAAATGAAATGTTTTCCAGTTCGCGCAGACAAGAGAAAGGACGAGAGTTTTCGCCGAGAAAGGAGCAGGAGAAATGAGGATACAGACTTTCGAGCTCGTCCATGTTCTGGGAGCGGAAACGCAATCGGCGCACTGCCAAAAATAAATTGATTACTGTCACGGAAATAGCTACAACACAGCTACATTTTGGGTGCTCCAACTTTGTTTGTTAATCGATTTATTTCGAGGCACACCAGAGGAGGAAATGTCTAGGAAATCGGCTTAGAAATCCCCCAGGTAAAATGGAGCCATGCCAAGGTAATTCCAGGGGGGTTGTGTTGTCTTCCACTGGCGTCACGTTTATAGATCACGTGACGTGGCCATAAATAGTTTAACCTGTCAATTAAAGACACCTGTAGGTAAGTTGGGGTGGAGGTGGAAATCTTGGCAGGAAAATGTCTGGAAACTTGAGGTGATGAGAAGACAAGCACGCACGCAATATGTTCACGCCTTCAATTTGTGCGTAGCAATTTGTAAGATACTTTTTGTAAGCCCTGATATGGTTAAGTGTTTAAAGAGTTGATTAGTCTTAACCGCAGGTGATAAAGATTAATAAAGTTATATACGATTAGACATTCGATTAGAAGCTTTTAATTGCTGATTAGATTTTGCAGCAGTTGACATTTTCTTCAATGGTTTGGTGATTAAATATTACCCAATTTTAAAGATATATTTACCACCGGAGGTTATTTTTTTTACATTATTACATATTATATTATATTACGTATTATAATTTTAGTTATAAACTTAAAACATTGTGAAAAAGTCATTTCCGATCCTATAAATTATATATATTCTTGATCAGTTTTAACAGCAGAATCGATCTAGGCATCTCCATTAGAAAAATAAATATTTAGATTTTTTCCAAAATTTTGAGGATTTTTAAATTTCAAAATAAAAGTGAAAAATTGCAATTTTTAAAGATTTTTAACTGAGTATGCAGAATTGTTAGCCTTGTAAAAACTAACATAGAAAAGCTTTCCGAATTGAAATTAATCTATTTTTGGCTGAATTATGAGATTTTTAAACTTCGATTGTCATGTAAATATAATTGCATTAATTAATATTTATTTTTTAACCCTTGCAGTATTATAATTTTAGTCAGAAGCTTACAAAACAGTGAAAAAGTCATTTCCGACCCTACGTATCATATATATTCTTGATCAGGATGAACAGACGAATCTTTCTAGCCATCTCCGGCAGAGAAAAAAATGTACAAATTTTTGCACAATTTTCTAAGTGATAAATTGTTAAAATTGTCGACAAAAAAAATTGAAAAAATTGTATTTGTTTATAATTTTAAATTGAGTATGCAGATTTATTAAGCTAATAAAAATTAACATAGGACAGCTTTTCGAATTGAAATTAATGCCTTATTGGTTAAGTTATGAGATTTTTACTCTTTGGTTTGTCGCAAAAATGATAATTTAAAAAATATCCATAAATATAAATAAGTAATTCTTTGAGAAGATATTAAATTTACTTATTTTAATTCCATAAAAAAGAAATTAAATAACCTACAAGATATTCTCCCTTTCTTTGCTTTAATCTCCCCATAAGATCGAACTTTACTTACCTTTTCACAATCGACTATCTGACGGCAAAGTTTTTCCCCAAGGATACCCAAAGGGAATCCTTCAAGCCTTTGAAAGGAAGGAGGAAAACGATTGATTGGCGGTAACAAATGTATTAGAAACTTTCTCGGTATAATTTCCGCATTTACGGATAGAGGAATATATACACATAAATACATACTGGATCTACTTCACTTCAAATTGCACTTCCGTGCGAAAAATGGTTTATCGAAAAGTTTCACCCTCTCCCTTAAAACTCCGATTTAATTCAGAAAGTGTGAATGGAACGGCGTTCGGGGTCCGCCCTCTATTTTTTTTTTTTGCCGATAAAGTTTGCACCTATTGTCATTTTATTGATTTGTTATAAATTTCACACACACAGCTTATCATTTCATGCGCTTCCATTAAATGTAAATGACTGGAAAATGTTGGAAAATGGACACGTGTGGACACCACACACACACAACCCTTTCTTATCTTTGAATTTTTCAATGAGATTTCCTATCATTTTAAATTCCATTTTATTGCCGAAATAAATGGTTGAAAAAGAGTCAAGGGAGGACGTTAAAATAAATTGATACCCCAATGGGAGAAATTCTTTTTCTCGCCCACCCGATGCTTATCGATTTCCTTTCGTTTGGCAACACCTTGAGGAAAAGTTCTACGGATGCCGGAAAAATTGCGAGTTTCCTCCGCCACTTGATTCTGATAATCTGTCGTAAATTCTCGCACTTTCCACTTGTGAAAACGTTCACAATTAAGTCACAGTTTTAATGACGTGACGCCAATATTAAAACGGAAGGGAACGGAAGCCCAGGAAAAGTCCTGGGAAAACTCACCCCCTTGTCACCCCCTTGCAGCTGTTGACAGCGTCCAGTTGCTTTTCCTTTTGTTTTTGTTGTGACTGCCGAGGGCGCTAATTAGGCGAGACGTGAAAATTTTTGCTTATTATTTTCCCTAAATTTTAACGACACTGGCAGATATATATATATTTTATATGGTGCAACATTTTGAAATTAGTATCTCGGAAATTACGGTTATTGTCAAAGTGAATTTTAATTAGCAAAAACTCGGTACGGGACGAGTGACGAGGTCTGACCCGGAAAATCAGAGCATGTCGAATCTCTGACGACTCTGGAGGAGTTTTCAAAGTTTTGTCTGGGAAGTATATTACGATGATGCTGTTATCAACAGAAGGTTACTCCATTAAGAGCATTAAGAATTTTAGAAAAAATAATTATAAGAGAGATATAGAGTCCTGTTAAGTTTGAAGCAATTATTTTCGATACTTGAAATATTTAGAAGCTCAAATTTCATTGCTGTTTATTATATAATATTTCCTGTCCTATATTTCATATTATTTTTGTATTTTGGTAAATTTAAGCTTAATTTTTAGTTAATTTACACCTTCAAGTAGGGGCTTGGCCAATATTTAGTGCCTTCAGTGTGAGCGGAACCTCAGAAAGTATACTAGGGAAATAATGTATCTTTAGGGAATTTTACTCTTTATTTTACACATGTGTAAAAGATATTTTGTAGAGTAATAAGTAAGGTAGATGTAGAAATTAAATATACAATAATTGCCTTGAACTTCAATGGGAAAGAACGATTTATTGTTAAATAAATCATTTCAGATGTTTCTAAACCAACAAAAATATATTTTTTAAATGATTTAAAAAGTGGATTTTTATTTGGATCACCTTTAATATATTTTAAACTTAAAATGCTATTATTAGATCATAAATAATATGTAATCACCTTTCTTACCTTAAACTCCTTTTAATTTTCTCGCAATCTAAAGTACAAGTTCTTGTTCAGAAAATTATGCAATATATATTTATAAAAATAATACCAATTTTTAAAATTTATTTATATAAAATAGCTAGAGAAAATTATAAGAAAAAATTAAAAATATAATTCTATAATGAAGAACGATTTACTTAATGCACTTTTGAGATGTTTCAAATATAACTGGTTACCAAATCTGCAACTTTAATCATTTTATAATAATAATTGCAAAATAATTGCTCATAAAATCTAAATAGAATTATAAATAATATACATATTTAAATGATGGATTGAAAACCGGTATGTAACCTCGATACTCATCTTAAACAACTCATATAATAAATCTGTTAAACATTCATTCCCCCATTGTGTTCACCCATTAGAATTTATTGTTTACTTTTAAAAGACAAAAAAAAACACTCCATTTTGATTATGCAATCTGCATAATCCCCCCAAACCCCCCTTTAAGGTATATTTCCCCAGACAAACCCTTGGCATCCACGAACTTGGTTTTAGCAATTTAATGGCCTACCGCAAATTGCTCATGACTGGCGGAGGTTGGAGTGTGTGTCTGATCGTTTTGGGTTAAGTACAGGTACGTATACACACACATATCGGAAAACTCGGTAAGAAAATTCAACAACAGGGCAGTTTCCAGTTGCAGCAAAGTTAGCTATTGCCTTGGCTTTTTCAGTTGATCGCCGATCGTGGCTGTGACAAGTTGCATTCTTAATTTATTGGGAAATCTAAGAAGGTAACACCGGATACGAATTAATCAAGTCATCGTGAGCCTCTTGAAAAATGCAAATTGTCAATATTTTAATTAGTGGAAAAGGTGTGAAAAAGATTTGTAATAAAAATGTGCTGAAAATTTTATAAGCTTTAATGAAAAAATAGCTCAGAGGGTAGTGAAAAAATAAGCACTATTTTCTGTGAAAAATAGGTTACTCATGAATATGTAACCATATATAGAAATAACAAAATATACAACAAAAGCAAACACAGTTTCTAAAATACCTAAAATAAATGTAATTTTGTATAAAAGTAAACCAGAATTTGTATAGGTGGCTCTCCTCAAATTCTTTTATTGCTAAAATATTTCACTTTTCATTTATAAGCTCACATTTCTATCAAAACGAAGCAATTTACATGAACAAAGAACGTTAACAATCGAGGAAAACTCCAAAAGTGTTCACCCAAAAAAATGCAAATTTAATGTTTGCAAACCCAAAACCATAATTAAAATAGTTTGGGTGGACACCTTTTAATGGTCACAGCTTGGTAAGAAATGTTTGAGAAAAACCGCCAACTAAAGGTCTGTCCAAAAAGACAATTGCCAGTCAAATTCCGGTCACGATTTTAGCATAGAATAGATGCAAAGATACAAACGTTTAAGTTCCAATTGCAGCCATGCAGAGATGCAGATACAAAAAAGTATCTGAAACAGACAAAAGCAACCTTTTGTCTTAGCTTTAAAAGTAAACTTTGATCTTTTGTAAGGCTTCTTGGTGGAGAGACCATGAATTGGTTTATTTTATATGTTGTAAAGTTATTTTAGTGCTTGCAATTAATGCTAAAAAATGCAAAGAATAAATAAAATGAATAGAGAAATATATATTTAAACAATTAGCAAGTATTTAGTGTTTGTATTTATGTAAAATGAATATAAACTAAGCAAGTGTCATAGTTTATGGCATTGTTATCTACCAGACCAAATCTGACATTGATAAAAGTAGAAAGATAACTAAAGATTAGGTGATTAATTAAACCTATTAGTAGTTTATTAAATATTTACTAAATATTGCAGTGATAATGCAGCTGCTGCCTCTGCTTTTGCTGACCTTCTTAGCCCTCAAATCGGAAGCCGCTCAGATTCTAGGCCTATTCCAGCATCCCGGCAAGAGTCACTTTGACTTCTTTAGACCCATGTTCTTGGCCTTGGCCGAAAGGGGTCACAACATCAGCATGTACAGCTATTTTCCGCTTGAAAAACCGGTGGCCAACTACACGGATTATGCGTTCCAGGGAATGCCTCTACTCACAGACATGGTGGACTTAAAGGTAGTTAGAAAATGTGACAAGATATAATTTTGTTTTCATTAAATTATAAACGTTTTGGCCTTGATTTTAGTTCGAAAAACATTCTAGAAGGAAAATTAAACGTTTTGACCTGAGTTCTTAAAGGAAAATTACTTAAACTCGGCAAGTCAACGTGGGCTGTGGTGCTAAAATATATATAATCAAGTGTGCCAACTTTTAAAGCCTTTTATTAACTAAACTAGATAGGCAGACAAGATCAAAACTGTTAGCTAAAAGTGTAAAAAATAATTTGAAATTTAAATTAAGGGGTTTTTATTATAATTAATAAACTAATTTGCAGGCCTTTGAAACGGAATGGAAGCCTTTAGGTCTGCCCTTCAAGGTACCCACCTTCTTTATGATCAACGACTGGGCCTTGAAATCCTGTGAGGTGGCCTTTGAATCCCCTCTGATAGTCCAACTCCTGGAATCCCCGATTCGCTACGATGTCATTATCCTCGAGCACTTTGTCAACGATTGCATGGCGGCTTTGGCTCACCTGCTGAAGGCACCTGTGATCGCTCTGAGCAGCTGTGCCATAATGCCCTGGCATTACCAGAGAATGGGCAGTCCTGTGATTAACCCCATAATGCCAATGAATTTTCTGCCCTACACAGATGATATGGGTCTGATTGATCGGCTAAATAACTTCTTCCACTTTCATGTCGTGAATGCGCTTTATCAGTGAGTGATACATTTTTTTGGTTGACCTAGAAAATTGTTGAACTTATCAGTTGAGTTACTTTGCCTTGACACAGTTTGATTACGGAACCAGCCACGGATGGCCTGATCAGCCGGAGATTTGGGGAGGGATTGCCGCCCATCCATGAGATTGTGAAGAATACGAGCTTGATGCTGATTAATCAATATTATGCGTTGACTGGACCAAGACCTTATGCTACAAATGTGGTGGAGGTGGGTGGTCTGCAGGTGGGACCGGAAAAGTTATTGCCAAAGGTAAATATAAACATTAAATTAATTATTACATTTATATTTGAAATGGTATTTCTATGGCCTTATAATTTAATTATTTTTTAACGAATTTCCTTTCAGAAATGAGGGGGAAAATAAAGACAAAAAATATATTCACAGCTTTATAAACTTATAAGTATAATCAACAGAGCCGTCTTACATAAATCTATTAAAATGTTTTAAGTTTGTACAATATTTATGAAACAAAATTAAGATTTAATAGTTTAATTATTAAATATTTTTAATCCTTGTCAAAGTAGAAGGTTAGGTTTGAAAATGATCTATTCTTTTTATACCCTTAGAGGGTATCTTAAATTCAGTCAGAAACATGAAACTCAGTAAAGGTGTAATTTCCGACCCTATAAATCATATATATTCTTGATCAGGATGAACAGACGAATCTTTCTAGGTATCTCCGGAATAAAATAATTTTTACCAAAAATTTTCATTTTTTTTTTCAATAAAAAATCATCATTAAAATGCCAAAAATGTTGATTTTTTTAGATTTTAAACTGAGTATGCAGAATTGTTAACCTCATAAAAACTAACATAGGAAAGCTTTCCGAATGGAAATTAATGTCTTTTTGGCTTAGTTATGAGTTTTTAAAATTTTGATTTGTCCTTAAAAAAATCTATAAATATGAAATAATGAATATTTGTAAGCTTTCCAAATTAGGCATCCGAGAATTTCATATAAAGAGCTTTACAGTCTTACAAAATAATCAAACAAAGGCGTTTAAAATTTTACTTTATAAGACCCTTGAGTAAAATTAAACACCATCAATATTTGTTTACATTTATTTATCTTGTCTACGCGGGTCACCAAACTCTAATAGCCTGAAATGTAAATCATAAAATGCCAAGTAAATAAAAACAGTCAACACAGTCATTAAAACCAGACACAAAGAAGACTTTAGACCAATTTAAAGCACGTGTAAATCATGTTTATAAAATATGTGCATATAAAATGAGGCATTATCAATTATCAAAAAATAAATAATGGGGCTCCCTTAATGTTTTCTATTTGCCAGATAGAAAGATAAGTTTATGTTAATCTTATAATACGAATGTATATATATAAGAAAACAGGAAATATTTTAAAACTAAAATAAGATTGGCACACTATTTTGAAACATTTAACTATTTGGGTCAACATTTAAGAGGAGACCGTGTTTCGTTGGCAAACAAACACGCGTTGGTAAATTGTTTATTTTTAGCCCAAAGACAAAACAAAGTGGTGTATATAGTTTAGTTTTTTTTAAGCTTTTTACTTAAGGGAATCTATATGTTTGCCTTTTTCTAAGTTAATTATTTAATTTTAAATATTTTTCCCTTAAAGTAATGCTCTTAATCTATTTTCAGCACCTTTTAGAGCTCATAGAACGTTCTCCCAATGGCATTATCTACATCAGCTGGGGTTCCATGGTCAATGCCAATACCCTGCCTTCTGCAAAGAGAAAAGCACTTTTCCAAAGCATTTCCCAGCTGAATGAGTACAACTTTATAATGCGCTGGAAAACTGACAATGATTCCTCTCAACTAGAAGATAAACCCAGCAATTTGTACACCTTTGACTGGCTCCCCCAGCGAGATTTGTTGTGTCATCCGCAGGTGAAGGCCTTCATCTCCCACGGAGGACTCCTGGGCACCACGGAGGCGGTTCATTGTGGAGTTCCGATGCTGATAACACCCTTCTATGGGGATCAGTTCCTCAATGCCGGTGCTGTGGAGCAGAGACGCTTTGGAATCATAGTGGATTTCAGGGATTTCGATACGGAACACATAACCAGGGGACTGAGAATTATATTGGACAAAGGGTGGAGCTTTTCCATGAAGTAAACAATAATCGATTGAAAATCTAATCGTATTTTTATTTCCAGCTTTGCGGATAATGTTCGTCATTCCACGGAGGCCTTCCGCCACCGTCCCATTCCCCCCTTGGACTTGGCTGTCTGGTGGATCGAGCATGTAATCCAATCTGGCGGCGCTCCCCTCGTCCAGAGTCCAGCCAGGCATATTAATTGGATCGTCCGCAACTCGATCGATGTGTTCTTCTTGTCCCTGGGAATCCTATTGATGTTTCTAGTCTCTCTCTGGAAACTGACCAGGTTGATTGGAAGAGTAGTGGCTTTTGGTAGTAAAAGCAAAAAGCAAAAGCAACAATAAAAATCATTAGTTGAGTAAACTGAAAAAATTATAAACTTTGGAGAGAACAAGTTTCACTTTTCATTCGGAGAGATAATTGACTTCATGGGGGATTATTAATGGGAAGTAAACAAATTATTGAGTTCACTGAGAAGTGAAAAATTTGAGGGCTCTAGATAATAATTTATATAATACTTGTTTAGTAAAAAAATTATACAAAAACCTTTGACATTATTATTAAAATAATGAACAAAAACCTTTAGAAATTTACAAAGTTCACTTTACCAGAAACTGCTACCCAATAAAAGTCCTATCAATTCGTCTTTCATTTACATTATTGCATAATAACATTTATTACATAATGATACACAGTTTTTATTTTATTATAACTCATTTTAAGACATTTGTGAGTCCGAATAATAATACATAATAATGAAATTTAAAAACAAAACAAAAATTCAGGTTGTTACCTGAGGCAAGCAAATAAGTTCACTGAACTTAAACTGATACTGAGAAGTGCTTTCACTTTTAAATTTATTTTCTCGGCTAAGCAAGCGTATCATTAGCACAGTCATTTCTAATTATTGAAAAATATCCATAAGACAAAGTTTAAATACTCTACAAATTAGTATTTACTGTTAAGTCATTTAATTTTGAACTAATGAATAGTAAATCATTTGTTAAACAAATAGTTGTTATCACAAAACAATGGAATATTCCATTCTAAATATTCCAGCTGCGTGATAAAGCCTAAGTTCAATAGTAAAAGTCATTTACGCATATATAATTATTGATTCCCGACATGTACTTATGTATGTATACTCTCTGTATTCGTTATACAACACAAACCCAAAAACATGCCCGTTTCAAATGTACAAAAATGAAATGTAAACAGTTGAGAGGCCTCCCCTTGTGGGGGTAACATGTGAGTGCCGAGTGATAAACACTCTGGAGACTCATTGTATTTTTTTTTTCCTCGATATTGTTGTGTTTTTTGTAGTCGCTAAATTAGTTTTCCACAGCCGGTAGTTTATAGTAGACAGTCTCGTGCACAAGGGCAAGGCGTTCTACTCTCACTTTATGACTGATCATTTCCCCCAATCTTTCTCTGAGGCATTCCTGGTGAGAAATGGGGGAAAGAGAGCATTTAAATGCCGAAAAAGCTTTTAAAAATGAGAGATATCAGATTTGGGTTTCAAAATAGCTTAAACAATGAAATAATATCAAGAAAATATAATTGAATATAAGTATAAATTAAATATAAAATATAAATGTCTTTATGTGATCTTATTTATTTATAATGAGCAGATAAAGACCATAACTATAATAATAGGTCGAGTTAGAAAAATAAATATAAAAATATATTATACATTAAAGTTTTCCTTACTCAGAGTAAATATATTACAATTTTAAAGTAAATTAAGCTAGATGATATGAATATTTTTATATACTTAAAATTTATTTAAATATATATTACAGACTATATACAAATATATCTGTAAATTTATCTTTCAAACCTATATGTACATTTTAAAATTAAAAAAAAAAGATATAGCCAAGTTGCCATCTCTATCGAAGATCGAGATTTATTTCCGATCGCTGACTGAGCAATTTTGGTCCGTTTTTTATTTGTCGACGCTCTTGGTCCGTCGTACGTTGACCGAAAAGCTTTTCGACTCGCCTGCATTTCTCTGAATTTTCGAATCAGTCGCTCGTCGGCAGTCGAACAAGTAAGTAAAAGCGAGTGAGAGTCGAGGGAAAACAGGATTTTAAGGTCCAGAAAAAACGCGGATTCCAAGCGGATACATTTTTGATTTGTCGCGTGTGTGTGTGTGTGTATCCATAAAGTTAAGCAAAAGTCAATCAATTTGCAGTTTGGGGGAAAGGCGGGCTCAGTCAGTTTACAGAACTACAGAATTTATTAACCTATTGTGATGCAATTTGCCTTGGCTTTTTGTTGTGCTTGTGTTTTCGCCTGCATTCTTTACATAATTTTCCCTGCATTTCTTGCATTCGCGACATGCGCAGAGCCACCCGCCCGCCGCCCACTCAAGGTCGCATGAAAATAATTCAGAAAAAAATAAACCCAAGAAAGGAAAATGTGAAAATGCAACAAGTGTTTAAACACCTGCTGGTAGCAGAAGGTGTATCAAGTGTTTAGTGTTTGTGGAAAACTGTGATCCGGAATAATTCTCTGTGACTGTGAAGTGCTTAGTAAGAAATATACATTTCCTTCGAAGGATATATAATTTTTCTCTACAAAATATATTTTCCTGCTCTCTCTAATTTTCTTAATTAAAAAATTAACATGTTCCCTCTGCAGAGAGCATCATGTGGTCACCACTGTTCCCTGTCCTCCTCCTTATACTCGTCCTCTCCGGCTCCGATGTGGTGGAGGTGGAGGCCGGCGCTCCTCTAAAGGTCTTGGGTCTCTTCCCCCATCCCGGCGTGAGTCACTTTCACTTCTTCCATCCCATCATGAGGGGTCTGGCAGAGGCGGGTCACGATGTCAGTGTGGTTTCCCATTTCCCGGACAAACATCCGGCCATCCGGTACAAGGATTACCCCCTGTCCGGAGTGGATAAGCTCACGAATAGCGTGGATTTAAAGGTAAGTGTTCCAGGGAAAAATGGGGGAATTTACAAGTGGGGTTTTTTTTTACGAAAATTTAACTATTGTTGAGGGTTTATAATAACTCACAAAAATTAGTGAAAACTATTAACACATTAATCATTGTAAATTATGGGAAGAAATCGAAACAAAAGCTCGTAGAAACGAAATTGAAATCGCAATTTAAGCATCGTTAAAATAAACTATAAATGAAAATTACAGTGCAAGTAATTGGTACTTAAGGTTAATCGATTTAAATATGTTATGTAGAAGTTAATTATTTTAGATTAAATTAGAAAAATATTCTATAATACGGCTTTTTCCAGAAAGTATCTGCCAACCATGTATATTTTTTCTTTGAGTTCTTAAATTTTCAGAACCTGCCTTTTACTTTTCTGTTTCTCTACTTTTTTGTTTTCATTTGTTTATTGAATCTGGAATTGGATAAAAATGTGTTTTTGTGATATTATAATTTAAGTCAACGCAAGAAGGATCTATTTGCGACCCTATAAACTATATATATTATTGATCAGCACTAAGGTCAAATTTTTGAAAATTTTAAAATTGTTAAAATTGTCAAAAATTTTGAATTTTTTAGATTTTAAACTGAGCATGCAGAATTGTTAATCTCATAAAAACTGACATAGGAAAGCTTCCGAATTGAATTTAATGCCTTTATGGCCAAGTTATGAGATTTTGAAAACTTTAATTTAACCAAAAAATTTGGAAATAAAACTATCGACTCAATACACTTTTTACAAACAATTTCAAATCTAGTTTATTAGCAATTTTATATAAATCGTAATAAAACCACTAAATCTGTAGAGATTATGAAGAGGGGATGAAAAAATATGATATACCATTTCAAAAATCAATGATTCATTTGTTAACAGACTATATAATCGATATTATAATTGAGGAACTAACCAAATTAATAAATTAAATACTCTCTCGTTTTTTATCTATTTTTCATATTATTTGTCCAGCTTTAATGGTTTTTAAATATTATTTATTATATTTTAAATATTGTTTCTTAACTATTTTTATTTATAATTAATTTTCTATTTAGTTCTTTGAAAAGCGTACTTTCTACAGCCACTTTCTGGAGTTCTTCCTGCTGAACGAGTGGGGCAAGCTGGCTTGCAACACTACGCTCCGCTCGGAGGCTCTGCAGCAGATCCTTAAACGTCGTCCTGGCTACTTTGACGTCATCATTATGGAGCAGTTCAACACGGATTGCATGATGGGCGTGGCCCATCAACTGCAGGCTCCCATAATAGGCCTGAGTAGCTGTGTGATGATGCCCTGGCACTACGAAAGGATGGGTGCTCCTTTGATACCTTCCCATGTGCCAGCTCTGTTTATGGCCCAGTCACAGGACATGGACTTTGGGGGTCGTTTGGCCAACTGGTTTAGCACCCATGCCTTGAACTGGATGTACAAGTGAGTTTTTTTGGCTTGAAAAAAAATGGAATATAAACATCTAATCCTTATGTTCCTTTCAGGTTAATATCCGTTCCCGCAGCTGATGCCTTGGTTCAGTACAAATTCGGCCACGACCTGCCCTCCGTCGGCGAGATAGCCAAGAACACTTCGGTGTTCTTTGTGAATCAACACTATTCCCTGAGTGGACCCAAGGCTATGCCTCCGAATGTCATCGAACTGGGCGGCATCCACATCCAGAAATCAAAGCCATTGCCTGCCGACCTGCAGCGACTCCTGGACAATGCCGAGGAGGGTGTGATCCTCATCAGTTGGGGCTCCATGATCCGGGCCAACTCCCTGTCAGCCTCCAAGCGGGATGGCATAGTCCGGGCGGTGGCCCGTCTGAAGCAGCAGGTGATCTGGAAGTGGGAGAACGAGACGCTGCCCAATCAGCCACCGAATATGCATATCATGAAGTGGCTTCCCCAGCGGGATATACTCTGTCATCCGAATGTCAAGGTCTTTATGTCACACGGTGGACTCATGGGCACCTCGGAGGCGGCCTATTGTGGCGTTCCTGTGGTGGCCACACCCATGTATGGGGATCAGTTTGTCAACACAGCGGCCTTGGTTCAAAGGGGAATGGGAACCATCCTTAACTTTGAGGATATTGGCGAGAACACTGTGATGAGGGCTCTCAAGAAAGCCTTGGACAAGAAGTGAGTATGGGAGAGATTAGAAAAAAAGCAAAAACAATGCTATATATTATTAATTTAATTGAGTCGGATCAGGTTCTTTTCTTAAATTAATTAGATCAATATATCACGATTGGCTTTTTTTGTTTTTTTGAGTTTTTTATACGGATACCAAGGCGATGTCTTTCAATTAAGTTATTTATGAGTTTGAAAATAGCTCAAAAAAGATAAAACCATACCATGCATGGAACTGAAAGAATTAAATCATAATATCTACATTTTAAGAGCAATTCAAATTTAAATTTGTAAAGAAAATACTTATACTTTATTAATGTTATATCTTATTTACATTTTATATTAATTTCTAAATTTACTTAAATATTCTCCAGATACTATGATGCTGCCAAGGTCGTCTCCCATTCGTATAACCATCGACCGCAGCAGGCCTTGCAAACGGCCTTGTGGTGGGTGGAGCATGTGGCTCACACTGGAGGAGCACCCCTGCTGAAACCGAGTGCTGTCCACATGTCCCGATTTGTGTACTACTCCCTGGATTGCTATGCAGTGGTGGCTGTTGTCCTGGGCACCATCATTGCCAGTTGGGTGTGGCTCATCCGGCGATGCTGTGGCTCCTCGGCCACCGGGAAGACAAAGAGGGATTAGGGATCTTGAGATCTTGAGATCCTAATCTCAGTTTGTGCTGTCTGTGGTGTATGTGATATTTTATACATGTTGTGTATGTAAGAGACTTTTAGGTGTAAAAGACCTCCTCCGCCTTCACTCAAGGATTTGTAGATTTTAGACCGCAAAAATTAAATATATTATGTTTAATCCCATACAATAAGTATAGTTTCTTGTATTATTTATAAGTATTTTTTTGGGGAAATTAAAATGTAAGGCAATTTTAATGAAAAATGTATGTACTTTCTTAAGTATTTGCTCTTTTGGTTCTTTAGAATTTTTTATGTAAATTTATTGCATAGTTTTTAGAGATTTGCATAATATTTTCTATCAATTAAAAATAGTTTTTTTTATTATTATAGCATACTTTTAGACTTAAAATTTAATCTGGAATATTTAATGTAGTCTGAGATTATATAGACTCTCTTAAATTCATATTTATACATATGTATATATCTATATTAAATGTTTTTAGCTTTTCTGTAATTAATTACCCAATGTAAAAATTCCCTAATGACACTTTCACTAGAGAGACAAAAGATCTATAAGAGATACTCTGAAGTTCATGAATAATTCTAGGAAGAGCCCTCTTCTATGAAAGGTAATAAAAGATAAGAGAGAGTTACAGCAAAGAGAAAACAATTCTTCTCTCTTTTTTCAGTTGTCAACGGAGTTCGTTTTGTTTGTAAATATATATACATACCCAGATATATATATATATACCATATTTCCCGAGTATATTTGATGCTTTGCATTCTGACACAGCAAAAACGAGCTCTGGCCAGTGCTCAGTTGATGATCTTCTTTGGACCATTTTGGATATCTTTCGCACAAACGCCGGTAATTATTTATTTTAAGTTTTCTATTTTCTAATTAAAAATATGATAAAAACTGTTAGTTAAATTTAGAAGTGCAACGAGTGCAAAAGTTCATATATAAATATCAAAAGATTATCTTAATATAATGAATACTTTATAAAGTCTACCTATTACGTCTTTTGTTTTACAGCTATTTATGATGAGGTTCTTCCTCCTACCGCTTCTGTTCCTCTCCCTCCTGGTGGTGTCCAGCAACTGCCTCCACATCCTGGGACTGTTTTCCCATCCAGCCATGAGCCACTTCAAGTTCTTCCAGCCCATTATGAGGGGTCTGGCCGAGGCTGGTCACAGTGTGGACGTCATTAGTCCTTTTAGGGATGAGAAGCCGCCCAAGGGCTACAAGGACTACCTGTTGCCGTCAGCTTCTCTAACAGATGCCATTCACCTAGAGGTAGCTACTCTCTGTGTACATTTTATTATAAATAATTTGCAAGAACTATTTCTCCCACAGGACTTTGAGCATCCTTTTAGCTTCCTTGCCCACTACGTGGAGTTCTTCATTCTCTACAACATGGGCAAGGAGGCTTGCAATACCACACTAAACAGTCAGGCTCTGGGCGAGATCCTTAAGCATCCTCCTGGCTACTATGATGTCATCATGATCGAACAGTTCAATACGGATTGCATCATGAGTGTGGCCCATGTACTCCAGGCACCGGTTATTGGCCTGTCCAGCTGTGCCTTGGCTCCCTGGCACTACGAGAGGCTTGGTCTGCCCCTTATTCCATCCTATATATCAGCTCTGTTCCAGGGAAAATCCCAAGATATGTCTCTCGCCGAAAGATTGGGCAACTGGATCAATGTACACTCATTGAATATGCTTTACAAGTGAGTTTCTGGTGCGAAATTATATCCAAATGAGGTTAAAGATCTTATTCTCGCTTAGAATTCTCAATGTTCCTGCCGGCAATGCCTTGATCCGTCAGAGATTCGGTCCCGATGTGCCCTCCACCGAGGAGTTGGTGCGCAACACCTCCCTTATGTTGATCAACCAACACTACTCGATGAGTGGACCCAAGCCTCTGCCCCCCAATGTCATCGAGGTGGGTGGTGTGCACATAACACCACCCAAGCCTCTGCCTGCGGATCTCCAAGAGCTGCTGGACAAGGCCGCCCAGGGTGTGATCCTCTTCAGCTTTGGATCTCAGCTGAAGCTGAGCTCCCTCTCCGAATCACGGAGAGATGGCATAGTTCGTGCTCTGGGGAGACTGGAGCAGCAGGTGATCTTGAAGTGGGAAAACGAAACGCTGCCGAATAAGCCAAGGAATCTGCACATCAGAAAGTGGCTGCCACAGCGGGATATTATGGCACATCCCAATGTCAGGGTGTTCATATCCCACGGCGGTTTGATGGGCACCACGGAGGCGGTAGCCTGTGGAGTACCCATCGTTGGAGTTCCCATCTACGGCGATCAGTCCCTCAATGTAGAGGCTTTGGTGCAACGCGGGATGGCCGTGCGGTTGGCCTTCAAGGAATTGGATGAGGAGTCTCTTTACGAAGCGGTTACCAAGGCAATGGATCCCACCTTCAAGCTGAGAGCCAAGGAGGTGGCCTCGGCCCATAATAGCCGCGTTCAGGAGCCCTTGGAGACTGCCATTTGGTGGGTGGAGCATGTGGCGGAGACTCGGGGTGCTCCGTTGACTCAACCCAGTGCCGTGTATCTCTCCCGCTTCGTCTATCACTCCTTGGATGTGTATCTAGTGGTGGCTCTCATTCTCCTCATTCCAGTGTTGACCTTTATGGGATTGATACGTCTTTGTAGGGGCAGCAAGGCAGGTGGATCAGCCAAACTGAAGCACAAGCGAATGTGATCTGACTCCAATTATATTACAAAGCAAAGTCAGCGTTAAATACATAAAAAACAACACCACTTTTAATTAAAAATATTTACAGAAAATATAATCTCACCCCTTACAGCTTGGCCTTGGAGGCACCAGGGAAGCCCAGGCGATACAGAGCCACCACCACGGCTCCGCCCAAGCCCAGGTTATGCTGCAGTGCCAACTGAGCCCCCGGCACCTGGCGCTTCTCGGCCAGACCACGCAGCTGCCAGCAGAGCTCAGCGCATTGGGCCAGTCCAGTGGCTCCCAGAGGATGACCCTTGGAGATCAAACCGCCACTCGGGTTCACCACGAACTTGCCGCCGTAGGTGTTGTCTCCAGCGTCGATGAACTCGCCGGCCTTGCCCTCGCCACAGAGCCCCAGTGCCTCGTAGGTCACCAACTCGTTGGCGGAGAAGCAATCGTGGAGCTCCACCACCTGCACGTCCTGTGGTTTGTAGCCACTCTTGGCGAACAGACGCTGGCTGGCCAAGCGGGTCATATCAGTTCCAGCAATCTTCATGAGGCTCTTGTCAGCGAAAGTGGACGCTGGATCGCTGGCCATCTCCATGCCCACGATCTCTACGGCTTGCTTCTCTAGACCATGTCGACGCACAAAGGCTTCGGAGGCCAGAATGGCCGCTCCAGATCCGTCAGAGGTGGGACAACACTGCAGCTTGGTCAGAACTCCCTCCACCACCTGCGGGGACTTCATGATCTGCTCCAAGGTGTATTCATCACGGAACTGTGAGTAACTGGAATTGAGAAGGAAGGTTAGTTACTACGGATCATCTGCATATGGGAGCGGAGTAACTCAGACTCAGATCATTTTTCAGCGATAAGATAAGATAATAACTTTCGACTGAAACTTACGGATTATTGACCGAGTGTTTGTGGTTCTTCCAGGCAATCTTTCCGAAGTGCTCGGGCTTGGTGCCGTATTTCCTCATGTGCTCCTTGCCAGCATTGCCGAAGATCTGGGCAGCCATGGGTCCAGCTCCAATCTCTGTGAGTTCGCCCATCTCAGTGATGTGACGTTCCATGGGATTGGCGCGGTCAAAGTACTATTAGGAAAGGAGTTACAAGGCTATTCAAGCTACGATAAGGATCTTGAGGAACTTACCTTGGAGGACAGGGATCCGCGCTCCATCTTCTCAAAGCCCAGAGCAAGGACACAGTCTGTGTTGCCGCTCTCAATGATCTGTTTCGCCAGATACAAGGCACTCGATCCCGTGGAGCAGTTGTTGTTCACATTGTACACAGGAATGCCGGTCATACCGACCTCATAGATCGCTCGCTGGCCACAGGTGGAGTCACCGTAGACGTAGCCGGCCACCGCCTGCTGCACTTCCTCGAACTTGATGCCAGCATCCTGCAGAGCCTTGGTGATGGCCTCCTTGGCAAAGTCCGGGTAGCAAACATCCGCTCGGCGGCCGGGCTTCTCGAACTGTGGATTTATTATGGGGTTAATGGCGATAATCAGAGATTAGGGGCACTTCAGGGGGCCAATGGAGCGATGCTGATAGCCAGAAATACGCCAAAGATAATGCTTGTGGTGCGGCAAACAATCGAGAGCAGATTAGCGAGCGAAGTGCACTGCAGTTCAAAGTCCGCGGCGATTATTAAAAGACTTGTTGCTCCATAATTAAAATGCCTCTTGACAATTGCAAAAGCTCGGCTTTTTCTTAAGCCTTTGTTTTGGTCTCCCCTTTGGTGCATCTTTCTGTTTAGCTAATTACTTGCCTTGGTCATGCCCACACCGACGACGTAAACGCGATTCTTTGTCATCTTGCAGCTGCAGCGAATTGGTAATAAAACAATAACTGGTAGGACCGCTTGAGAACGATTAACTAAGCCAAGATAGTTTCTTGTTTTTTGGAAATTAAGAGGAGCAGTGTGACCAGGCATAAGGCTAGAACTAAATACCAAGGAAATATAACAATTATGCAGCGTTCACACTAATTGAAATGAGACAGAGCGCGCAATTTTGAAATATGATTTTAAGAATGATTTTACAGCGAACGAAATGAATTTTTCAGAGAACCATTATGCTTCATTCTTATTTCTGAAGTATCTTCAATGATTCGGTAATTATTATTATTAATCTATTCTTTGTGACCTTATATTATATTGTTATAAACATTGAACCGTCTCTAGTCACATTGCGAGCTAAAAAACATGTATATAGAATTTTTCCCGCTAACCCGACAGATCTGATCTTATCAGACAGATATAGCTTCATAGTATATAATCTTGATACCCGCTAGACTTCGCCTCATTCGATATAGAAAGTTCCGTCCGATTGGTAATCCCGAAGAACCAGCAACATGACCAAGACCAGAGTTTACGTTATCGGCGTTGGCATGACCAAGGTTCGTCTGCCGAAGATTGACCTTTGTGCCGCGACATCTACCTATACATTCTCCTCTTCTAGTTCGAGAAGCCCGGCCGCAGAGCGGATGTGTGCTACCCGGACTTTGCCAAGGAGGCCATCACCAAGGCTCTGCAGGATGCAGGCATCAAGTTCGAGGAAGTGCAGCAGGCGGTGGCCGGCTACGTCTACGGTGACTCCACCTGCGGCCAGCGAGCGATCTATGAGGTCGGTATGACCGGCATTCCGGTGTACAATGTGAACAACAACTGCTCCACCGGATCGAGTGCCTTGTATCTGGCGAAACAGATCATTGAGAGCGGCAACACAGACTGTGTCCTTGCTCTGGGCTTTGAGAAGATGGAGCGCGGATCCCTGTCCTCCAAGGTAAGTTCCTCAAGATCCTTATCGTAGCTTGAATAGCCTTGTAACTCCTTTCCTAATAGTACTTTGACCGCGCCAATCCCATGGAACGTCACATCACTGAGATGGGCGAACTCACAGAGATTGGAGCTGGACCCATGGCTGCCCAGATCTTCGGCAATGCTGGCAAGGAGCACATGAGGAAATACGGCACCAAGCCCGAGCACTTCGGAAAGATTGCCTGGAAGAACCACAAACACTCGGTCAATAATCCGTAAGTTTCAGTCGAAAGTTATTATCTTATCTTATCGCTGAAAAATGATCTGAGTCTGAGTTACTCCGCTCCCATATGCAGATGATCCGTAGTAACTAACCTTCCTTCTCAATTCCAGTTACTCACAGTTCCGGGATGAGTACACCTTGGAGCAGATCATGAAGTCCCCGCAGGTGGTGGAGGGAGTTCTGACCAAGCTGCAGTGTTGTCCCACCTCTGATGGATCTGGAGCGGCCATTCTGGCCTCCGAAGCCTTTGTGCGTCGACATGGTCTAGAGAAGCAAGCCGTAGAGATCGTGGGCATGGAGATGGCCAGCGATCCGGCCTCTACTTTCGCTGACAAGAGCCTCATGAAGATTGCTGGAACTGATATGACCCGCTTGGCCAGCCAACGTCTGTTCGCCAAGAGCGGCTACAAACCACAGGACGTGCAGGTGGTGGAGCTCCACGATTGCTTCTCCGCCAACGAGCTGGTGACCTACGAGGCACTGGGGCTCTGTGGCGAGGGCAAGGCCGGCGAGTTCATCGACGCTGGAGACAACACCTACGGCGGCAAGTTCGTGGTGAACCCGAGTGGCGGTTTGATCTCCAAGGGTCATCCTCTGGGAGCCACTGGACTGGCCCAATGCGCTGAGCTCTGCTGGCAGCTGCGTGGTCTGGCCGAGAAGCGCCAGGTGCCGGGAGCTCAGTTGGCACTGCAGCATAACCTGGGCTTGGGCGGAGCCGTGGTGGTGGCTCTGTATCGCCTGGGCTTCCCCGCTGCCAACAATGTGGTCCGCAACTTGACTGCCGCAGGAAAGGCGGCCACCAGTGAGGATGGCTTCAAGGTGGCTCCTCTGCTGAGGCTCCTGGAGCAAGCCATGCAGGAGGACAAGGACAACTTGATCGAGAAGGTGCGAGCCGTGTATGGCTTCAAGGTGAACAATGGACCGAATGGACAAACAGGCTACTGGGTCATCGATGCCAAGCAGGGCAAGGGCAAGATCATCTTCAACGGAACTCGTAAATGCGTAAAAATTTCATTTGTAGTTAAATCTATTTCATTCTGGATTTTCTTTTGCAGAAAAGTGTGATGTGACTTTCATCATCAGTGACGAGGATGTGTTTGAGCTGCTGACCGGAAAGCTGCCGCCGCAGAAGGCCTTCTTCCAAGGCAAGATTAAGATCCAGGGCAACATGGGATTCGCCATGAAACTGATGGATCTGCAGCGTTCCGCTCAGGGAAGGATTGAGGAGCTGCGCTCCAAGTTGTAGGCTGACTCGGGTTTCATTATCTCACATTCCCCGATGTGTGTGCCTTTTGCAATATATTCTTGGTGGCTTCTGGATCTGATAAACCTAGTTTAAACCGATTTATGTATCTTTTGTATTATGTTATAAATAATAAAACTGTTATATTCTTAGGTTTTCTTATACCCTTGCAGTATTATAATTTTAGTCAGAAGTTTACAAAACTGTGAAGGAGTGGTTTCCGACAATACAAATCATATAAATTCTCGATCAGGATGAACAGACGAATCTTTCTATCTCTGGAAAAAAATAATTTTTTTTTAATATTTTCCAATTTTTTCAATATAAGGAAAGGGGTTACATCATTAAATTTGTCAAAAATGTTGATTTTTTTAGATTTTAAACTGAGTATGCATTGTTAAACTCGTAAAAACGAACTTAGGAAAGCTTTCCGAATGGAAATGAATGCCTTTTTGGCTGAGTTATGATCCTTTTTCATGGTCCTTCCGCATGCCAAAGTATCTTTTCTTGTTACCATTAATATAAATCAAAACCACTCAACTTCTTTGTATTTTTGTACGATCCGAATCTTTATTGTTTCATCAACGTGTTGTAAGCTTGCTTAAATTCTAAAGTTATATATTGGTGTATATATATATATATTTATATGGTAATTATATAAATGTGTGTGTATATTGTTCTACGCACGTTCAAAAACACTTTTCAAAAAAGTTGTTATTGAAGGAAATCAAAACTGGGACCTTTTTTATTTAATTCAGTAAAGGTGCGTGCCATTACAGGAAATACACACGGATAACAGTTAAATGTTGACCTCGACCTTGGCTGCATTTAAAAAACGTTACAATTGTTGTAGCTATAAAGTGCCAGCGGTGTGTAAATAAATTAAAAAACTACATCTCTATCAAGTGTCGTCGTCTCGCATTTTGAGCTTACAAATCTACGTATTTTGTAATATAAAATATATAGGTGTTGTGGTTTTTATGTGTCTGTCTACAAATTAACTTTTTTTTTTGGCTATGTACAATTTAGGGAGAGATCGTTTTCAAGGCTTAAGGAGGTGTTGTACGGTCGCCAGGAAACTGGAGATTAGTGAAACATAGAATTCAAGTTTGGTGGCAAGTGAGGGAGACACTCCTTCAGCCTTTTCTGATCTCTTCCCGCAAAGGATGATACCTCTCTGGGCTTCCGTTAAACAGAAACCCCGGGAGGCTTTGATTAAATTTACAAAAATATAAACAGGAGTGCCACAGAAATAGCTGGAAATTTAAGATCTACCTAGTTGAAATATCAAAGCAAACATTTGGATCGCTTTTAAGAGATGTTAATTCCGCAGTGATTTCTGTGGCTTTCCTGATATATATCGTTTCACATTTAAAGTCCAAAAAGAGGAGCCTCTACTCTGCTGCTTTTAACCCCAAGCTAGCTTCCAATAGTTTTCTTAATAACTATTGTTGGAGTTGGCGTAGGGGGAGAGTGAACTATTATTCGTTGTTGCCGAGGATGTCGTTGATGTGGTGGATGAGGAGTTACTACTGCCCGCTCCCGGCTTGTCCATGCTGGCCATTATGGAGCCCAGCAGATCCACTGGCGTTTTAGTTGCTCCTTTATTGACGGCCACTCGATTACCGCCTGCTATGATGATCTTGTGCGAGGGCAAGCTGAAGGTCTTGTAGGTGGGCTTCAATGGGGAGGGGTTGGTGGTGGTGGTGAGGCTGCTGCTGCCGCTGCTGCTCGGTGGCGGTGGTGGAGGCGGCGGTGCCGTTGACCTTGACGGTGGCAATGGAGGCAGGGGAGGCAGCACCACCGACATTCTGGTGATGTTTGGACAAGTTAGGGAGGCGGGCAGAACTACCTTAACAATTTGATGAGCGGCGGATGGAGGCGGCGCAGAAGTAGGAAGAGGTGCTGTTAGTGCTGCTGGTGCTGATCCCGATGGTTGACGAATCACTGAAACAGACATGGAGGTGACTTCTCTGGGAGTTGCGAGTCCCAGGATCGGCGGTTCCTTGGGTATGGGTATGTCCATTTCTACAATCTCCTCCTCGGCACACACTTCAGGCACCTCCGCCTCATCCAGTTGCGGTGTGCTCTCCACGATTAACTCGTTGCCCACATCGTCGACGGGCTCGGGTTCGGGAGGTGGCGGCGGCGGCGGCGGCGGTGGGGGAGGAGGAGTTGCTGCCACACTAGAGGTACTGGTATCACTGCTTTTGCTATCGGACACGATCTTCACTTCGATCTTGATCTCGGGCTCCTTTTGGTTCAAGCGATGATGGTGAATGAAAGGCGTCGTCTGAGGCACAAGTGGCGGTGGCAGTCCCGACAGGATTGAAGGCGGTGTCAAGGTTTTAGAGGGTGCAGGAGTGGGTATAGGAGTTGGCAGAGGGGTGGGTGTTGGGATGGGAGTAGGGATTGAAGGTGCAACAGCCGCAGCGGAAGGATTGGTAGCTGCTTCATTGTTTAGGCGTGGCATCTTGGCCGGCGAAGGCGCACTTAGGGTTGAGGTCTTGGCTGGCGTTGCTGGATGCTTTTTGGGCGTGTGATCGCTTCTCTTATCCTTCTCCGAATCCTTTTCTTTATCCTTCCTCTCCTTTTCTTTATCTTTATCCTTCTTTTCCTTATCCTTCTCCTTATCCTTTTCTTTGTCCTTCTCCTTCTCTTTATCCTTGAGCTTATCCTTATCTTTCTCCTTGTCCTCCTTTTCCTTATCCCTGGACTTATCCTTCTTAGGCTTTTCCTTGCTTTCGTGGCTGCCCAGGACTGCCGCCGCCTTGGTCAGCTTGTACTTGTGCTCGAGTACCATCTTCCTCATGTCTATCTTGGAGTCATCTTTACTGGGCTTCTTTTTGGGTGAACTAGCGGCACTGCCACTGCCACTTCCACTGCCGCTACTCTCTTGGTTCTGGCTGGGCGAGGCCGACGCTTGCTCGTCCATGCTGCTCTCGCTGGAACGACGCTCCTTGCCCGGCTCGAGATCAATCAGCTTCTTTTTGGCCTTGCCATCGTGCGTCCGCTTTGAGGGCGTCTTCTTGCCGACACCACCGCCACAGCCCTCATCTTGTCCAATCGGATTCGGCAATATCGTTTGCTTCTCCTTGTAGTGCGGCGTCTCGGCCAGCACGGGGTTATTCCGCTCATTGATGACTTCCTGGCCCGGGTAATACTGTCGCAGGCGGAGATGCCAGGCTATGCTCGTCACGGCCGTTACCGTGCGAAACTGATGGATGATGTTGCGGGGCAGGAAGTAGATGTCGTTGTCGCACAACTGGATGCGGGCATAGCGGACGCCTTCGCGTCGCAACTGGTTGAGTTTGGCGTCCTCGATCCACTGCACGCACTGCGAGATGGGCGGTTCGTGCAGGTCCAGCTGCAGCATCTCCACCATCTGATTAAAGTCCTGGGCGGCAAAGGCCACCACATCCTTGGTGATGCGGTTCTGGTTGTACGTCTGTCCGCAGTGAACAGCTTTTAGAATGCCTTTAGGGCGAAAAGGAGAAAAAGATTAGTAAATTTCAGGGGAAGAAATATACAAAATTTTAGGCTCACCAACTGCAGCGGTGGTGATCCTTTCGTGGCCATGTCCCACATGATCTGCGTGCGCCTTGGTGCGATCCTCGATCATGGTCTCACGGGCCTCCGATAAACGGGGCAGATACTGAAGGTTGCGCAGCTCATTGATGCGGGTTCTAAGGGAGATTCGTTAGGATTCAGAACACAATTCTAGGGCATACTGATTCTCATTTGAAAAACTCACCTCTGCCTTTTGAGCGGCGTCTTGCTGTTTAGCTCTGCCGTGGGCACTAGTTGTTCGCCAGCGCGTATCCATAGGATAGGTCCATCGTTAGACTGACGGGGATCCGTCTGCAGTATGGAATTACAAGCCCAAGGCATAGTCTAAGTATAGAGAAAAGAACTGTTAGAGTTTTATATTCCTTAAATGATATTGAGGCTCTTACCTTTCTGAGAAACGGATTCATTTCAATGCGTCTCAAAAGATCAGGAAAATAGCCGCCAACCTCTTCATGGACCTTGCCAACGAGACTGATCTGATGTAGAGGTCCATAGCGAAAGGTTCCCTGGCAATAATTGCGAACAACCTGAGAAGGAAAAACGATTTAAGGTTACTAATAATATTTCCATATTTTTATATTACGGTATAGGTTATAATGTTTTAAAGGAATCATTCCCGAAGATTAGTTACACTTCCTTACCTGTTCATTATACTGCGACATCGTACAGGTTTCGATATCCGAGTTCCTGCCCAGCACACCTGCCTTCACCGTCAGCGTTGAGTAGTTCTCTGCCATGTGCTCCAGTAGATCGGGCAGATAGCGTGCCGCATCGTGAACAATGCCCATTACGTGGTGGGCATAACCCTGCTCATCCTCCGCAAAGCAAACCTCGAAGAACTCATCCACCAGCTCCTCCATTTCCTCGGGCGGCAGGGCATCGATCTCGTGCTGGTACAGATGCACAATGGACGCTCCACCATTGGGATACTGTTCCACCTGGAAGTAGCAGCCATACTTGAGGTTCTCCAAGCCAACTGGCGGCTGCCGGTTGGGCTTCGGCGGGAGACTCTGCACCGTTTGCCAGGGTCCGGGGACAGGAGCATGCTGCAGGCACTGAACACCCATGCTGGAACGTCTGATCTTGGAACGCTTGTAGCATTTTGAGCAGTCTCGCGACGAGGAGGAAGAGTGACGGGACGATGATGACGAAGAGGAAGAACCCTTGTGATGGTTGCTAGAGGACGATGACGTGTAGGACTTGCGGTTACTGGAGGAATGATTGTTGGCTGTGGCGGAATTCGATCCCGATGAGCTGGTTTTTGGTGCTGGAGATGGCATCAGCTTGGAGTTGGCGCTGCTCTTGTCTCCAAAGTTGAGCTGACGGGTGACCTCTTCGCGGCTTTTCCCCGTCGCCTCGCCATTGACCAGGAGTTTGGGCACCGCTTCTTCCTTTTTGATTTCCGCTTCCGTTTTGATGTTGTTGCTAAGTACAGGTAATGAAGTTACGGCATCCGGCTCTGGTTTAACTTCCACTGGTTCCTTTTGATGCCTTCCTCAACCTTTATTTGCTGCTCAAGGGCAGCTGTGACCGCTTGGCTAAGGCTGTGTTCCGATGCCGCTTCCTTGGACTTGGAAGAGCTGTTCTGACTGCTTCTGCTGCTCTCCGAGCTGCGGCGGCGATGTGAGTGTGACGAGGAGCTGGACGACGACGAGGGAATCTGTGAATAGAGGGGGTTTTGTTCAGCTCTTTGATTTTTGTTAAAACAAGGCTAAGCTTTCCGTATCGGTTTTAGAGGAGAACTCTTCCTATAAAGCTTTTAGAGGGGTTTTGTGTTGGAAAAACTTTATAAACATAATCATTTTCCTCGCGATTATCTGGAAACGCAATATGACAGCAAAGAAACTTGATTCATAACTTACAAATATGCCATAGCTTGTGATATCATATTTTCATATTTTGTTTACCAGAATTTACAAGGAAAACTAAAGAGTTTATCTGATATGCATGATAATATGAGTGGAAAGAATCTGGATTGGAAGTTAACCAATCTTTCAAACAAGTTTTTCCAGCGAAAACTAATGTATAACTAAAGAAACTATAGAGACTCCTTCAGTATTCAAGGGTAAACCCTCTCACCTTCTCCCGATCGCGTTCCCTCTCCCTTTCCCTGTCGCGATCACTGCGATGATACTTCTTGTCCTTGCTGCGCGAGGAACTGGACTTGTGTTCGGTCTCTTTGGAGGATTTGGAGCTGCTGTCCCGGTGACTGCCGTCTCGATTGCGCTCTCTCTCACGTTCCCGTTCACGTTCCTTCTCGCGATCCTTGCTGGTACTGTTGTTGTGGTTGCTGGTGGCGCTGCTGCGTCGATGCTTATCTTCATCTCGCTCGCGCTCCTTATCTTTCTTCTTCTTCTTGTGATTGCGCTCTTCTGTGGGTGTGTGGGGGTTCGGGGAAAAGGGGGTTTACATTAGTTGGCATTGGATTTGTTTTCTGCGAAATTCTTTGCTTTGCTTTTTCTACTTTACCTGTCTTCTCGTCTGTTGTTGTTGTTGCTTCTTTCTCTGCCGCAGTCGTTGGTTTTGATGCCTCGTCTGCCTTTACTGCCGCTGCTTCCTCTTCTATTGTTGTAGGTGTAATTGTAATAGCTGTGTTTGTGGTTGTTGCTGCAGTTGTCTTATTTGCATTCCCATCGCCTGACTGCTGCAGTTCTTGTTGCTGTATTGGTAATGCATTAATGTTGCTGCCCGCTACTGTTTCCTCTGTATTTGCCTTTGTTGTTGTTGCTGCTGCTGCTTCTGCAGCACTGACATTTCCGCGGGCATTTGCGTTGTTGTTTTCCACCGAAAGCTGAACCGCCGTTGCCGATGCCGCCGCCTCTGTCTTGTTGTTGTTGTTATTGCTGTTTACCCCTTGAGCGGGCTCCATACCCTCCACATGGCTGGTCGTCAACTTTTGCACCTCCTCCGCTGCCGTTTCCTTGGCCAATTCCGCCCCGCCGGTGGCTGATTCTACGTTATTTTCGCCACCTCCTCCTCGAGTGTTCTCCATGTGTGCGTGTGCGTACGCGCCCGAGTCTGTACGTGTGTATGTGTGTGTGTTGGTGCGCTTGTGTTGAATATATCGATCAGAGTCGTACCGTCTACGTGACGCCTCTCAGCTCGCCGCCGTGCCTTTTATCTTACGCTCCTCCGTTTGCAAATCACCCGCTCGCTCCGGCGTGTGGGTGTTCATTCGGCTGGCAAAATTTCCGCAGCGGCGTTTTCATCAATTCGCGAATTCGCCTCTTTTTTTGTTCTAATTTTTGTCCATTCGCGCAGTGTGACCGTTGGCGGGGTGTCTGGAAATACCATCGTATGGTGATGGCTGCGTTTTGGGGCATTTCAGTATTTTCTTTACGCGAGAAAGGTCACGCCAATTTGGCAGTTAATTTTTAATTTATTAATTTTATATATATTGTTTTACTGCGAATTTTTATAAAAAAAGGGGAAATCTGTATTTTAGTCCATCTATAATTTATTTGATTTTCTACTTATTGCTATAAGTTCTGTCATTCGCTTAACTATCATAGTAAATAATTGAATTGAAAGGCGGAAATTAGTTTATAATTTTGAAAAGCTTTAATTACTATTTTTATTCAAGCCAAATTTTATATTTTAACTAATTGCTGATATAATTATTTTTACTTCCTATAACCATAATATTTCCTACTAACATTTTTAATCACCTAACACATATACATTTTTTTTAACTTTTGAATATAAAATTTTTCCCTGTTCCCTATAATCACTAATTTTGTGTTTTTAGCAAAAAATATATAAATCTCAAGTGAAAAATAAACCTAATTATTTGAGATCTGAGGACTTCCTGCTGTCCCTTTGGGCGGTCTCCCGGTAAACCTCGCTGACCAGTTTGGGCACCTCTCCCAAATAATCCATGATGGACATCTCCTCCTGGAGGGTGGTCAGATACATACGTTGGATTTTCCTTATCATCGGCTCAATAACTTTAGCGCTGACAATATCATCGGCACTCACACAAAACAATGCCGTCAAGTCTATGGGGCTTGATTTCAATTCCGCTTCTTCAGAAACATCTTCGGGGTGTCGTTTTGGAGTTTTGGGTTTATTTAGAATAGTAGGAGTCCCCTTTTCGAGTCCAGACACCTTTCCAGTCTCCTTCTTATCAACATCGCTTGGGGGCGTCCTACGATCTGCATGCGTCAGGGAATGGTCCAAGGCCTGTTGCAGATGGATTTGCGAACGAATTAGGGATCTGAGATCCTTGCCACTCTTGGCGCTAATAATTGTATTCTGAGAGGGCTTCGATTTCTTGGAAGTGATTGAATCGTCACTGAGAAAACTATACTTCTCCCGCAATCTCTCATCCGCGGCTAAGCAGTGAGCCCGAGCTTTCTCGTAGTCCTTATGTGGGGGATAAGGCTCCTTCGTCTGGTAATGCTTGTGGCTATAGTCATTGGCAGGCGCTGCAGGCTCCTGCCTTTCATCCCCAACTCGATCGGATGTGGTTTCACGATAAGTCGAGTTTTTGTAGACAAGCAAATCGTCATGGACTTCGGTCTTTTCTATGCCAGGATCAGTATACCGGTGGGTATTTCGAGTGTTGTGACTTGGTTTCCTTGCTTCATGGAACGGACAATGTTTCTGAGGCTTAAGTTAAATATATAAAAAGGACATAGCAAATAGAAAATGCTATAGGTTTTACCTGAGGCTGCTCATGATGATATTGATAGTCATGGTCGTTATTCCTCGATAATTTAATCGGAGCCATATCCGGAGGAGACCGATGTCCTCGAACATCATATTGACTATGTGAGCCCCTACACGACGTACAGTTCAAACACTCGAAACTATTGTCCCTAGGCTGATTTAAAAATGCGTGAGTAGAGAATATGGCATTTTCCCTATAATGGAGCGTCTCTCGATGCGGACGATCGTCATCCATGGGTATACGATGCCCATTCTTGTCCCTTTTTGGCTATTCAAAATAAGGAAAACACCCTTGAGGATTTTCTCGAGTTAGTTTGTGTGATAACTTACTTCATTCCTGGTTCCAAGGAAATGTTCACGCACATCACCACGATATTTATTATGCTTATCCATTGAGTCAGGTGAAAATTATTTGAAGGAAGTATTAGGTTTGTCGTAAGACATCTAATAACCAGAATACTGGATGATAGACTAAAACTTGTGACCCTTAAAAGTCTAAATTTTAAATAAATTACATTTTAAATTACGTTGGATAAATAGATTTTAATATATATATATTTTTTTACGTGATAAATATGGATTTCCCCTCTACCCAGAGATCATTTCACAGAGTAATTGTTTCCATATAACGTTCAAAGGACCTCGTGATAGTCGTGTGATCCGGGGCCAGGTGAGTATCGGCCATTACAGCCAAGCGGTATTTGTCCCCAAAGCGATGCAGATTCAAGGAAAGACAAGTCTTCGATTGCGGCGGTCGGAAGAGAAGGACATCCTGAACTTTTTGGCCCCAAGCTGACTGGAACTCATCCGTGGCTCCGTAAATCTCAGTGATGGTGATGGGGAAGTTGTACGAGAAAAAATTTATGAAGATTTTGGTGAGAACGTGAGGTAACAAAGAGGTCAGAAGGCTGAACTTGGTCTGACCTATCGAAGCCAAGTATATCATAATCTGTTGATTCCTGATTCTCTCTACAATATCGTGGAGTTCCTTGGTATGATCTGCATCGGGTTCCCTCAAGGGTAATTGCAAAAAGACCACGCCACCAATATTTTTCGACTTGTCCCCTACTCTGTCTGTGAAATATCCTTTGTCTATAGTCCTGCAGGTGGTATTAAGGTATCTTGGGACCTGCAAATCCCCTGAAAAGGTGTTCAAGTAATCATGAACAGCGCCAGCTAGGCAAGTTAAACTGAAATCCGATTCCCTGAGATCCTTATTGAATTTATCCTTATTTCGCAGCCTGAGTTGAGCGCCACTTAAGGATCTGCTAAAGGACACTATCTTCCTGCCCGAATAGGACTTTTTGTGAAGGATATTCAGCTCCTTGGTGGGCTGTTCAAAGAGAACTTCGTAAATATTTCTCGGTGCCTTGAAGAGCTCCCAACAGATCTTGAAGAATTCCAATTGGGCGTAGAGCAAGAGGGGAACATATAAATGAAGTCTGGCGCAGTAGGTCGAAGAGTAAGAAGTTTGCCCCTTGATCAGGACATCGGTAAAGGCCAGGATCTCGCAATAAAAGTGGTAGGGTAAGAGCAAAACATGATTGAGATTTAAGCGCCAGAGGAAGCGAGTCCAAACCTTGGCCAAGTTAGTGGGCTGTAAGCTGTTGCATATGGCATTTCTGGCCACCATCCAGCTGAGATTTCTCTGCTCCAGTTCCCTGTTCAACAATAACCTGATAGTTTGAAAGCGTCCCACTTCATTTCGATAGGTGACCGAACGCCTTTTAAGTTTCTGGAGCACCGATCGACTCCTCCAATAGCCGAGCAACACATTGACCAGGATTATCAGGACCAAAGAGGCCAACTGACTGAGATTCCTCACTTGAACGGCAGACGAGGCACCATCGGGTGTCTCCAGAGAATCAAATTCATAGATGAACTTCTGCCAGCGACAGATCACAAGATGCACCAAGTGATTCATCAGTCGACTAATGTGTTCCGGTTTCCGGACGAAGTGGGAGAGTTGTTTCTGATTCGAGCTCCTCTGCTCCAGGCCATCACTGAGGGTCATCAGGCCTTTCTTGTGCGGATCCTGCAGCAGCAGCATCTCACTCACATGCAGATCCTCCTCCTCGGCGATTATCAGATGATGAAGCTTTATGAGGATGTAATACGGCTGAGTGCTGTCCGAGTTGGGTATGACGATCACCTGCCACTGGGGAAGGTCCGAGGGTATGTACTTGGTGGCCAGTTCGCTGACATAGTCCTGGATATTCGATTCGGTGACGGGACGGCCGCGGTACTTGTGGGTACTCAGCAAGACATGGTTGTTGATGTTGAAGCCACTATAAGGGTGATATAGAGAAGTATATTTAATATAGAACCCATAATAAGTATAGAAGTGTGCATTATCTTAGCCTAATTACTACTACAACTTACCTATTATCATTAACCCAAGCATAATGTCCCCAGCAAGTGACCAGCTTTTGTCGCAGTTTGGGAAACCTTAGCATTCCGGTTTTATCCCTCAGATCCGTCAGATATTGAGCATATGCTCTTTTGATCCTCTCATAATCACAACTTCCTTCCACTTGGAGAAGAAAGTGAAAGATGCCCGCATTTTTTGGTGTGTCGATTAAAGTCCGGATCTTGTTGGACTTTGAGATGGTGAGCTTGGGATACTTGATGCTTAGCACATAGTTGGATAGTTCGTTGCCAAGGTGGGCGCCTTGAAAAAAATAGTAAGGATTAAATAATGATTCTTAAAAAGCAGAAGTTTGACAAAAATTATACAAGTTTAAAGAATTTTTTCTGTAAAATTGTAAAATTGGTTCTATTCTAATATTAAAATAATTATTTAATAGTTATCAAAAAGTTAAAAATAATTAATATAAACCTTATTGAGAAAGGCAGGAGAGTGGCAAAATTATTTAATCTACGCACGATTACATACAATAATTCAATGCAAACAAAAGGTAGATGCGTATATGCCCTTATCCCAAGGCGATTACCCGGTATCAAGCATCGAAGAGCCGGCTTATCAATGGCAAAATTTTATGAGTAATTCAGTTGGTCAAGGTTCGCCTGGCCGCTCGTCTGGGTTCCGCAAAGGTGCAACAGGTAATCTATTATTTATAAACAAAAGCCTTATCTCAGTCACTCTCTCTTTCTGTCACTCTCTCTTTTCCTTTCACTCTCTCTATGAAGAACTCTCTCCCAACGGATGATGATGATCCTTTTTAGTGGTTAATCAACCCATGCCTCGATTATATTTATTTATATAGCCGGCCCCTTTTGAAGTTCTTGATTTATGTGGCTTATCAGTGAGGCAGCGCGTGTCGCGGATCGATGATCATCGATCATCGATCACTGCTGGGGATCGATCACTTACACAGAAACGATAAGAGCAGCAAAGGCACCAGCATCAAAGCAACCACAAAGCAGAGCAGGGTCTTCAACAGCGATTTCAACTCTTGCCAGAAACTAGGAAATATATATAATATATAATGCGAGATTTAGAATATATATATTTACATAGATTTCAATTTACCTTTCCATTTTGTTTCGGTTTCCCAGAAATATATTATTAACACTCCTGACTTCTAAGCTCTATTTAGTATAGCTGCACTATATAGTATGTATGGTTCGAATATTCGTCTCTCTGGTTCTATATACTTTCAGTTCTTTAGGCTCACGTTCGCTCCTCTCCGTCTTTCAAACACAACTGATCTCAATAGACGAAGCTTCGATTGGGCTTCGGGTTTATTTTCGTACTTATCAGCGACCCCCTCTTCGCTGTGCACTGCAATAAAAATTGATACGAAGCATAAGGCGTTATCAAGAGCATGTGTGAAGCTATAAAATCGAATAATGGTAAACAGGTGCATTAATGATATTATTTTTTATTATGGCAATTTATTTTCAATATTAAAAATAAATTTTGATTGTAGGTATCAGATGATATTGATTTGTATTCCACAAATAATTTGTTTTATTTGGGAATGCTAGAACTGAGGGTTTAAATTGTTAATGTAAACCATGTTTAATTCTTTGTTTTTCTACTTAATATATTTATTTATTGTTTTTAACTTTTATAAATATTTCCCAGTGTATCTCAGCCATATCTCGAATGGCTTTCATTGGCTCCCTGAGCTGGTTCCGAGAACTTTTGACGCCTCTGCAAAGGATGTGCACGCAGCTTTCTCAATTTCTCACCTGCTCTCATCTATGCTTTCTCTGCATTTCCCTCTCTCCTTTTCCCTGAGAGTGCCCAATTAATCTCTCTCTCATTTTTGGGGGGCTTTTGGGGCTCAGTCATTTGCTGGCTTTCGTGGCGGTCGGTTCGCGTTTTTTGCGATTGGAAACAGCGTGTGTGTTTCAGACTCAGTTTGGTTTGACGTTTGTTCCGTTTTGCTGTTTTGCATTATAAAAAAAATAGATATATATATATAAAACTATTACCCCCTCCTGCCCCAAGAAAAGTTCTTTGAAGCAAATGCTTAAAAGCAGTAGAAAAAGCAGCAGGAAAGGCAGTAAAAGCAGCAAAAGGCAGCAAAGCAAAGCAGGAAAAGTCGAAAAAGGCAGCATGGCCCAAATGGCGAGGCAAGGCGGCGCGGGTTGGCGTTTGGGAAAATGAAAAGCCCGTGGAAAGCCGTCGTGCATACTGAGTAATGATTTTCGTGCGAGTGTGTGAAAATGTGTGAAAATTGTTGTTTGCTGCGCCGCGGAGTTAATTTATTAAAAAAATTAGAATAACACCGAAGGAAAGCTTGTAAATACCACGAAAACAAAAAATCAAAAGCAAAAATGCTCAACAAAAACTCAGTAAATACGGAAATCGGAGAGTTGAAAAATATAAAATAAAATCAGGCAATTGCAAATAAAAAATGCCAGCTTCCTGCTTCGCACACACATACACCGAGCAGATTTTGGTCCATGAATGAACTGGCATCACCACCCGCACATTCACTCACACCATCACAACACCAACACCAACACACACTCACAGACTCACACACACTGCCACAGACACACACACACACACCCATGTGCAACACATATAAAGAGGAATAAAATAAAAAGCGAGCAATTTTCGAAAGATTTTTGCTAGAGAAACGGAGAAACGTGCCGCGCATTTGGAGCCACAGAGAAATAGTATATAAAAAAAGCTATATATACACATATATAGCGGTGGATATAAAAAGGTGGGTCAAGTGTAAATTTATTTAACTAGTTGTATACACGAACACGTTAGTCCTTAGCCCCCCACCCAAAAAAACCCCCCGAAAGGCCAGCGAGATTCCGCAACAAAAATCGTAGCATGCTTTCCAGCGTTTGCCCTTCGCTTGCCCCCTGCCCCTTACAAAAAATCCATCAATAGATGAGTGTTTCTGAGAGTGTGTGTGTGGGTCTCCTCCTTGTGCTCTTCCTTTTCCGTAAATAAAAATAAATTATGGCCATTGCCCCTAAAAATAGCAGCAGGAATTACAAGGAGCCAGAGATCGCTTCTCGCTCGCTCGAGCTGTGCTGCTCCTCCTGCAGCAGCATAAATCATTATGTTGCCAAATGTCAATATAACACTTTGAGCCACTCACACACACACACACACACTCTCTTGGAGGAAAGGATACGGATACTATGAGAGCAGACTAGCGCCTATGGGGTGTGCAAGCCTGTTTGTGTTGGTGCAAAAGTTCAGCCTGTGTGAATTGGTTCAATTGAACCAAGTTCTTGGCTAAATATAAAACAAATTGAACTTTAGCGAGTTATAAATAAGTTGTAAATCCATTAATTATATTTCTGTTTACTCAAAAAGCTTTGTTATTATTTATTTGTTAAACAGATTTAGCTTTGTTTTCTCTGTTAAACTAAGAAATGAGTTTAACGAGCAGTAAAAGCAATAGACTTCGAGAAAATAAGATTAAAAAGGATTGGTTTTTATTTTATTTATTTAGATTTAGACTTTATTTTTAAGTCTACAGGCTATAAATTATAAAAAAAATTAATTTCTGAAGGCCCGGTTCAAAATAAACAAATATTGCAGGTAGCAGTTCAATTTCATTTACTTAGGAAACGATTTAGAAAGTTATAAATATAATTATATATTGTGTTAACAATTTCTTCCATTAATTCCAAGAACAAAAAACATTTTTTTATTTATTTATGCTTATTTATTCTCATTATTGATACTTAATTGCCAAACAGTAATTAGCACTTGAATTTATGGAAGCCATAATAGAGGAATACTTAATATAAATGGGGCTCTTAGTAGGAATTACCTGCCATTAGAGGTCTTTACTCATTATTCGATTCAAGTTGATACAGAGTTCAAGGAACCTTTTAGGGATATAAAGTAGTAATAAAACAAATTAATTTATTAGATTTAATGAAAACAAGTTGTAAAAATCCAATAGAATATTATAATTTGTGGAGTTTTTTTTTGCAGTTTTATAATACATTATTATTACAATTTATTTTGTAAGTTTATTTTGAAATTTTATTATACAAAACACAGGAATGAATGAAGTGTACAAACACTTTATTTAAGCTGAAAATATATATTTAAATATATATTAAATATATTTAAAAATATCTTTCAGAATATATCTCATTGCAATAGTAATTCTGATATACATTGTATATCAAATTAAAAATCAAAAAGTATATGTGAAATCACCAAAAATCTATTTTCAATTCACCGCACACACAAACACACACACACACACATTCTGATACACAGGAAGTGGCAGCTAGGAAAAGCCTAGGAAAAGGAGGAAGAGGAAGCAGATAGGAAACTTTGTCTGTGAAAAATTCAGTCTGCAGCGCTATTTCACTTCCTTGAAATCCTTCTGCAGCCACAACAATAACCTTTGCTCTCTCCCTCGCTCTCTCTGAGAGTTTTCTATTCTCCCTGCATGTTTTCCCATTTAATTTTCTGTCTAATTTTCCTCTCCTTACGCAAGCGCGCTTTTCCGCGCTTCGGCCACAACTCGTTCTGTGTCGTCTGTGTTTTTTCGCTCTGCCTCTGGCTTGGCTCATTTGTTTATTTTTAGTTTGCTGTCATCGGAGCCTCCTGCTCATCCTCATCCTCATCCTTAGCCCCATCCTTCATCCTCCATCCTGAGGACCCACCCGCAGCACATCCTCTGTGTACGAGTATGTGGCTGCAATTAAATTGCTGTTAGACGCTCTGAGCCTGATTAATATGCCTTGGATATTTGCGAAAGTTCCTCGAAGTTTGCCAAAAGTCTTCTCCTAATAAGTTGCCCAGCTTGTGCCCTTTTTTGAGCGGGGGAATTTTTTAGAAATGAAAACTGGTTCAAGGTCGTTCGGCTGCAACGAACCGAGGTTGTTGCACCGCCCGTTTGCCATCAACTAGCGGGGAGGAAAGAGGGTTTACGGGGTTTAATTAAATACAGTCGAGGTTGGTCAAGAGTTAACTTGGTTTTATTTGCCATTAAGGGTTAAAATATAATTTATAATTTAGGCATAAATTAAAGTTACAAAATCTTGGTTAAACTTCAAGTTGTTTTTTGTTTCATTATTTTATATTTCTAGGTTTCATTTTGTTATTAATTCGTCATATATAAAAAAGAAAATTAACGTTTTAGTAACCGGCTTTATTGGTTTATATTAAATGTCCGAAAAATTGTTTATTAAGTTAAGTAGCCTCAATAAATATTTTATTAAAACCATTAAATAAACTTACTTTCTTTTTATTAGTTTATCTAATTTACAATAGAATTTATATTCCAAATTTGCAATTGGTATTTCAGAATACAAATATTTATATATTGAATATTTTAATTAATAAAATTTTTTAGCTACAATAAAAATTATTTCCATAGATATCTTTCACAAAAGTTTTCTAATAAATGGAATTTCAAATTCCTAGTACAAGTCCAGCTATTTTCCTCAATTTTCCTAGAGATATTTTCCTAATTGTAAAGCGACAGTAGCCGAGTCGGTCAGCATTTGGGGTCAGTTGGCATTTAATAGCTGTGTTTACGCTGAGAGGGGAGGGTAAAGGGGGGATACAAGGCGAAAGGGAAATCCCAACAAAAGTGAAAGAGGAAAAATAGTGGGACAGGGGCTAGGGGACCCCTCGCGTGCTGCAACGTCCATGAAATGACGAGGCCTGCTTTCCTCTTTTCCGTTCTCTATTTTTTTTTGTTCACAATATACGAAGCTCACGTGTCAGGGGACGCCCCGAAAAGCCAGGTAAAAATGGTTTTATTGGGGAATCGCGCATAAACACATGATATGCTTAGCAGACACACACACTCTACACACACTCTCTCTCTTACACTTTCCCCTATATGCATATATGTTACATATATATATATATAAACGCTTTCAACGGCCCAGCTGGCTAAGTATCCCTGTAGGAGCTTACGTAATCCCGAAACGTGAGCCTTAATCACTTTCTGCTCGAGTTTCTTTGTGGGGCAAGGGAACGAAGGATATGAAGGATATATATATATATATATATGGCAGCCTGAAGTGGAGTTTTCGCAGGAGTTGTGCCTAAGAGGATCACGAGTTGCCCCTAAAAAACAGGGGAAACCTTTTTCCAAGGCACTGAACTAATTGAAAGTAAAGCCGGGGGCGGAACGAGTTTTATATTTAATTGATTAAAGGGTTTGTTAAACAAATGGAGGTTTATTTAAATATTTATTAGAAAATGTTATGGGTTTTAAATCACTTTGAAAAGTGTCTACAAGAAAGCAATAAATATATATATATTGGGGTTGAGTAACAAATTAGCTAGGACTCCTTTTAAAGGACTTTAAAGAAGTATAGAAAAGAGTTTGATACAACTTTGGTAAACCCTATTAAACCCTTTTCACATTTTTCCACAAAAATCTTCCCTTCACCCCAAATTTAGTTCAAAATAGGTGACAACTTTTCTAGTAAATAAAATGCTTTGTACAATATTTTTAGCATAATATAATTTGGACATCCTGCGCTCTCTCTCTCTCTCTCTCTCTCTCTCTCTCTCTCTCTCTCTTCAATTCACATTTGGCATTCCGAGCACTCCCGCCCGGCAAACAATTCATTTCTCCTGTGATTTGGCGTGCCATTACCGTTAGTCACGTGCTCGCACCACCCACTTTTTTTTGTTGTGCCTTAGTCCAAGTCCTCCCTTTGCATTCCCATTCCCAAAGTTTGGGGGAGTCCCTCGGGTCGGGACCCGCATTCGGGACTCGTTGTCCTTTTTTATGTGTGGCCTGTCCTGGCAGCACGGCGCTGCCTTAATTATCCTGGCATTGGTAATTATGCGACACAAAACAGAAGTGGGGACATACATTAAACAGCATTTTAAAGAGCCTTAAAGGGAGAGAGAGCGCAGAATAGAAGAAAAGAAATGGAAAAGGAATGTGTACAACACACTGGAATAAAATATTTGTGAGAAGAAAATATGAAATTACACTTTATACAAATCATTTTAAATAATTCGATAGCATTTATATCAAAAAACTGATCCTAATGTTACATTACACAGATTTTTATTGATAAATTGTTTAACAGTTCTAGTCACTGATTATTTTCAATAATAATCATATTTTAAACAATTAATAAAGTGCCTTAAATTATTAGGTTTGTATTGCACTCTTAAATCAATTATTTAATGAATTTAAAATACTTTTAAAGAAGTTTCAATTAAAGGAAATGCTCTCCAACATCTAATATGAATATACCCATCAATTTTAGTTTGTGTAAAAATTCTTTTAAAATATAAACCATCAATTGTTTTCTTTGCAGAATATAAAAGTTGCATCAGTTTACTATATAACAATAAAATATTCGATTTTAAACATATTTATTTATCATACATTTTTTAAGACCATTTTTCACAGTGTAAATATTTGCTTACCGTGCTTGAAGAATGCCTAACGAAAGCGCGAAAAGTATGCTGCATTTTAATTGAAAATAGCCCGGCCAGAGTGTCGCGCGACCCGGAAACGGAAACGGAAGTCAGCAGGTGCCAAGCTCCCTTCGGCTTCCTATTTTCCCTATTTCTCTCGCTTCATTTGGCGCTCTTCTCAGTTCCCCTTCCCCTAATGAAATATTCATTTGTAATCGATAATTCCGCAAAAGAGCAAACATAGAGAAACATGCGGCGGCATAATAAGTAGGAAAAGGTCCTCCAGTACCAGTCCCCAGCACACAGTTCCCGCAGTTTTTCCCTGCATTGAGAATTGAGGACGATAGTCAACTTGTCTGCATTCAGGCAACAACGCCGAAAAATATATAGCCGCCAAAAGAAAGAAAAAAATAGAAAGAGGAAGGCACCGAAAATATTCCAATAATTGTAAGTCACAATTTATACGCAGGTCCAAAGCCCGTCCTGGCCCTCTAAGCCATGGTTTATTGTGTGCACTTGGCTGATAAGTTTCCTGCAGGTAGATAGATGAATATTTTTCAGCCAATAAGTTTGGAGTTCGTGTGGCCAGAAAGTTAGTTTAAAATGCATAAAGTTTTCCCAATGCTTTTGAAATGAAAATTGATTAATAATGCAACATATTTTATGGTCACGGAGGCAGAAAACTTTCTTGAGAAACCTAGACGTGCTGCGAAACTGATTAAACATTCGATTTAGTTTTGGGCTATTTCCTTGAGTTTGTGTTTTTTTTTAAGGCAGGAAGCTGGGATAATATAAAGATTACATTTGTTAATCATATTTATTAAGATTATTTTTATATTTGTCTATGATATTTATTAGTTTTAGGAATTTTAAAATATAGTTCCTTTAATATATAATAATATTCAATAAAGAATTAAGTTTATCCCATTATTTTAAACATAAAGTAACCAATAAAAATCCCTGACAGTTTATAAAATAAAACAAAAACCATGTCCTTTCTAAAACCCCCAAACCGCAGTCAACATTTTTTATTTTCTCTCTTTATTTAGCCTGAACCACATTTCATTGCATTTGGCAAATCATTATGGTAATCTATATTAAAACCAAATTGCCCAAAGGCCATTCATTCTGTTGGCCGACCGAGACGAGCTCCCCATTAAAAATTCTATTAAAAGTTATTTACGGCAACTTTGGTCCATTGAATGCGACAAAAGTTGCCAGCACATGTCCTGCGAGCTGTGAGGACGAGCAACAAGACCCCAAAGCATTGTCTATGCACGTTCATAAATAAGAAATGCAGTCGGGGCGACGTCGAGTGTCCAACCCTTTGGCTCCTTCAGCTCCTTGATAATATGCCCATCTCCTGCTGCACTTTCCCCTTCGCCAATTCCAAAACCCCTTTTTCCATTGACAATAAATTTGCATACACAGCACTTGCACTTCCTGTGGCCAGGGTTCAGCGTCGCTTTCCTCGAAGGAAGTCGTAGGAGCCTCGCAGGAAGGCAAGTCAGTTTATAAATGCCGATCAGCATAATTGATTTCAGGCACAAAAAGCTGTATTTATCACATATGATATAATGTTTAGTTAGAGAGGCATTATAGTAGGCTGATTTTAGATAAGGGAAATAATTTAAGGCAAAGAACGAGGAGGTTTTTATATTTGTTACTAAAAGTAGATATATAAAATTGTTGGTAGATATTTTTGGTATTTAATTCTTAGGTGTAAATTTAATTGTAATATAGATGATAAAAATGTGAAGGATAAGATCCTTCTAAGAGTCTTCCCATATAAAAATATCAGTAATATCCCCCATTTATTAATAACCTCTAATATTTTAAAAGTTTATAATATATAAAATTTATTAGCTATATTTCACTCTTTAGACCTTTTTTCGCGTCAACTAATAATCCTTTCCGCTGCAAATCAATTTATAACGATTCAATAATTATTCCAATATTCATTTCTATTATCAATTTCCATATATGTATATAAATTGTGCTTTCAACTGGCAATGAAGTGATTGAATAATACGTTAATTGAATTTTAACGAGAACGTGTGTGTTAAATCAATTTTGCATTATCTCTGAATCAGTCGCTGTGGGCGCTGGAAGGGGTGATAAAATCAGATGAAGAGCTGAGCTGAGCTCGACAATCGATGGGTAAATTGGATAAGGTACAGGAGATGCAGGTCCTTGGCCAGGAGATGTGCTGACAAGGACTCTCATTAGGCACTCGAGCGGCAGCAGCAGCACCAGCGATAACGGGCCGAGAGATAAGGGCGTGGATCGGGGGGAGGCTGGAAACCCAGACCGAAGACCAAAAAGGAGGCTGAGGACATTCGGGTGCTTAAACTAGAGCAAGGACAGCATGAGCACAGCAAAAACTTCACAAAAAACTAGAGAGAGGGAGAGTGAGAGTGAGAGAGAGCAAGAACAGAAAGAGATGGAACAAATTGTTACATTGCCTGTCCCGAGAGAGATGTACACACATACAAATGCATATATAGTGCAAGTACATGTGCTATTTTGACCCCTTGCCACATCCGCCCAACTGCATTTCTCTCGTGTCCTGCCCTGTCCTGTCGGAGTCCTTGTGCTGCTGCTGCTGCTGCTGCACAAAAACAGCAGGACAACTGACAACAAGGAGCATAAGCTACCTTCATCCGAGATGTCCTGATTATGACAGCCCAAGGAGAATGCGGCCGGACAACTGAAAATTGTTGAAATTCTCCCGGGAGTTTGGCTTTCATGTAGCCCTCACAATCCTCCTTCTCCCCTTGTCTGTGTTAATTGCCCAAGTGTGTGTGTGTCGGAAAAATAACATGGCATCCAACAAAAGGGAAAAGTGAGAAAATCTAGGAGACACACACACATGTAGATAAAACCAATTCGATTTAATTTCCAGTTGGCAGCCACCACATCCTTTTGGGTGGGACAGACGGACCATCGAACACCGCGCATCAGACGCAATTAAAAAAAATAATATTAAATGAAATACCAACCAAGAGGTAACTCTGCGGGGAATTTCAGTGATTAATGCTGAAGAGCTGGAAATAGTTTCACAGTGGCTTTTATAATGACATGTGCATAATATAATTTGGATGAGATTGGATGGGATTTTAATTAGATTCGGATGGGGGGATTAAGTGGAAAGGAAAGTCCCACAAGGCAGGTGATGGGGAATTTATCACAGATTTGACATATTTAAATTTAATTGAAATATCTTATTAAAATATCCATTTAATTTATTGGTCTATTAAGTTTAATGGTAGTATAACATATAGAAAATGAACTTAAGTATATAAAATATTGGAGCAAGAACGTTTATTTTCAATGTTAATTTTGTATTCAGCATAACTAAAGAAGTTTAAGAGTTATTTTTTGCAAATTTACAAGGTAATCCGCCAAGGTGTTGAGTTTAAATTTACCCTAAGGTACAAAAATATTTAATTAAGTCCCATTGCCAACTGTTAGATATTTTATCCTTTAAAATGAAGCTAGAACAATTTTTCAGCAATTAGTAAAATATCAAGAAATGTTTTACAAATAATTTAGCTAATCTAGAATACTTATTTTTCTTGTAAAATATTTTTAGCGAGTTGTATACATTACCCAAAATATTTCTTTAATTTGGAATATAAACAGTTTTCTATTCAGAAAAAGTATTTGTATCTAATATACCCTAAACTGTTTCTGTTCTTTGAAGTTCCATAGCACGGCCCATCCATCACCATCATCATTATCGTTGTGATTTTGCCTTTCGCCAGGCTCTCTAAACGTCTCTTCACTCTCCCCCCTCGAGCAACGCTTTCTCCCCCTCTCATTTTTTAAAAATTCTACTAGTTGTCCTTATATTTACGCATAAACGCGTATTTGGCCAGAAAGTTGTCGTTGCCCGCGGCTGCCAAAGAAAGTGGAGAAAGTGTATTCAGATTGGCAGCACCCTGGGGGATAGCCCCTCGATGGTGCGGCCCACATGGCGTATGAGTGACAGCCAGGCAGCGGCAGCGGCAACGTCAAAGTCGTCGTCGACGACTCATATCAAATTACCGTTATGGTTATGCACAGGCGGAGGCCACAAGGGGTGTGGGAATGGGAATATGGCGTAAAGGGGGGTTTGGCTTGGAACCTAATGAGCCTCGGGGGCAGACTGCGCCCGGCAGTTATCAATTTCTATAGCATATATAATGAAAGGAGCGAAAAGTTTAGAGAAAACTCATTTGCAATCGTTGTCTCCTACAGCTTCACGTAGGTGGGTTTTTATATAAAATATAATATATATGTACATATATAGAAATATTATTAGGTATACCAAAAAGAATACAATTTTCGAAGCGATCGAAATCGATTTTTAGCAATATTTTATATGACGATTTTTAAAAAATTAAGTTTTTCCGAAAAATCAAAGTTTTAAAATCTCATAACTCAACTAAAAATGCATCAATTTCAATTCGGAAAAGTTTCTTATGTTAGTTTTTAAAAGGATAACAATTCTGCATACTCAGTTGAAAATCTAAAAAAAATCAAAATTTTTGAAAATTTTTACGATGTTCCTTATTAAAAAAAAAGGAAAATATTTGAAAAAAAATATTTTCTTCCGGAGATAGCTAGAAAGATTCGTCTGTTCATCCTGATCAAGAATATATATGATATGTAGGGTCGGAAATGACTCCTTCACTGTTTTGTAAGCTTCTGACTAAAATTATAATGCTCAGCAAGGATATAAAAAACCTAAACATAAATCCAAATTTACTATTATTTAATAAATATTTTATAAATTAATATGTTTTCTTTTTAGGTAATCAGTCAACAGAGAAAAGACCCCTGAAAAGAAGCCACAAAGAAAGATTTTGAAAGCAAGAAAAAGAGCGAGGAATACCGGGAAACGGAAACGGCAAGCGGAAAAACGAAACCGGAAACGGAAACGGAGAGGAGACGGGACGAGACGAGACGAAACGAGGCGGCAGTGTTTGACAGTTGAGGGGCAACCATCGGTGATGTGGGACACATCCCGGCACGGGCAATGCAACAACCCCAACGTTATATACCGTCTGTATCTGATCTATATGGCACGGACGAGATAGAACTGCTGCTGGACGAGATTCGGGAGCTGGAGCTGGAGCCGGTCTGCTGTCAGCTGGACGATGAGCAGGACTTTGAGATAGCTGGCAGCAGGGCCGGCGAGCTCTCCCTAGCTCACTCGCATTCGCACTCGTTGTCCCTGGAATCGCCACTGGGAACGTGCACCTCCTGGGACTCGCATGCCAACTACAAGCAGAGGGGCGGACACACCCCGATGCCCTGGGGCGTGGCCCTCCACTGTGATCCGCAACACTTGAAATCGCCTACAGGGATTGTGCGCATACTATTGGTGGTAAGATTGGAATCGGTCTTATAGGGTTAATAAATTCTTTTAATTAAATTGTAATCGTTATCCTTAGTTATCCTCGGCCGCCTGTCTGGCCTGCGAATGCTCCGCGGGCACCGTACAGGTGGGCCTCTTTCTACTGCCACTCATCGGACGCCTGAGGCTGATGGTCTTCTGTGCGCTCTTCTCGTTACTCATCACATGCCTCATGCTCTTTCTGGATATATCGCATATAGCCCTCATGTTTCCATTCAATTGGACTAAAGTGGTGGGTTTCCACTTACCAGAATATATATAGTAAAATATTATATTAATGTATATTTATCCCCAGAACACGTGGATGTACCTGAGTATTGGTTTGATATTTATTTTGAGCTCCACATTGCTTGTCCACATGGTGCTGTATGCCACTGAGTACACCTGGGTGTCCAAGCATTCCAAGGACACGCTGCTGGCCACAGGGGTGAGCTATTAATTCTTAATTATATATATTAATTACTTATTTAAATTGCGATTTAAATGGATAGATAATCGGCTATTTGTGCGCCTTGGAGGCATTTCTTCTATCGGGCATCGCATCCTGGCCATGGACTCAGTACCGCCAGGTGCCCGACGATGCCAGCGAATTGTTTATCGAGGATCGCGAGATGACGCCGATGAGTCCCATTAATTGTAGCACCGATCTGCAGGCGACGCCTTATCATCATAATGGCAATGCCACATCGTCGGATCTATATAACCAACAACAACAACAATCGTCCTGTAATCAAAAGCCTTATATACCTGGTAAAGATATGCTACAATCTAGCGTTTTGAGTTTCGGTTAAGAGTTTTCCTTTTATGCTTCTTCAATCACAAGATGTGAAGAGAATTATTAACTAATTTTCCATTTTAATCCGTAGCCAAACGACCCAATGAGCTCAACAATCAGCGTCCAGCATTGGGTCACACACAAACCGCACGGTCGAAACCCAATCAGCGCTATAGAGAAGGCTACCACTATACATCCCGCCAGAGTCCCACTTTCGTGCTGGGCGATGATCAGGGCAATGCCGGTCCATCCACGTCCCGTTCCAATGATAATTCTAGTGCGTGATAGTTTTTAATTCCTCAGCCAGAACCGGAAGGATTACAGAGATCTCTTAGCTACCAGAATTGGAGAATACGAAATTGGAAAGGAAGCATTGTTGCACAAGCATTTCGGTCAATGTAGGAAACCACAAGAGAAAACCAAAACCAAAAACACAAAACAAAGAAACCAAATTGTTAATTAGTTTAAAGGCAAAACTCGTCGGGATGAGACACCAAAAAAACACAGAGAGAAAATATTTAAGCCGAGCGAGCAAAGCAAACAACAATAATAAATTTAATAAATTGTGTGTGTATGTCAAGAGAGAGAAATTTAAAGAATTTAAAGAACAACCAGAGGAAATTTGAAACGAAGCCGATCAACCAGATCGAAGCCCATTTGATTAGTTATACGAACACCAAAAAAAAAAACAAAAACAAACATTTGAAAATTGGTCAATGTGTTGAGCTATAACTAAATATATATGAAGAAAAGAAAACCTAATTGGTAATAAACAAAACAAAATACGGTATCAAGGTAACGCGACAAATTGCAAGCAAAATTGAAGAAATTAGAAATTACAATGAGCATGGAAATGGAAATCAACTTGTTATAAACGTAGTTTTGCTTATTTTTTAATAAAAACAAAATAATTCAAGAAAACCGAAACATAATTGACCCTCTGACCTAATTTAGGGTATCAAATAACATAGGTTAATAAATTGTTCAACAATACAACAACTTTTGTTGAATTTAAAACAATACAACAATTTTATTGTTGAATTTACAGCAATGCTTTGAAAAAATGCACAACATCATAATATTCAGACTTAAATTTTACTTCAATCCAAGGTCCTTTTCAATGGTGTGCGAGCACACGGCCATCATTTGATCCTTGACGCTCACAAAGTTGCGAACAGCCGCAGGCTTAGCCTCAGGCCAAGCTCCTAGATCGCGATAAATGGGACGGCAGAACTTCATGCGGAAATTAGAGTTGGCAAACTCGAGAATCTCCTCCAGGCGCTTGATCAAACGCGCACGAATAATCAAACGATTAACGCGGAAGCGAACCTCGGCATTCTTGGATCCCTTCAAGTTGTATGTGGACTCGAGGAGCTCAATCTTACGTTCGTTCAGGTCAACAATGTCCTTCTTCTCGATCAGTTTTCCAAGAAAATCAATCAGTTGGTGTATGGAAATGGTCTGCTTAATGTCCTTGTTGTCGCTCAGTTCGGCCACAGTCTGTGAGCTCCAGAGATTGGCCAACTCCTTTGTGACATTGGACAGGGACTCGTCAAACCTAGAAGCATTTAATTATTATAATTGCATAACATCAGTCTATATTTATATTTACTTGGGAATAATTGGAGGCATGCCCTCGCTGGTCAACCACAAATCCCAGTCTATGACACCCAGTTGATCCTTCTTGTCAGTATCCTTGAAGTAATCATACAGAGCAGCCTTAAAATCATTCGTTTCAATCGATTTGTAGGCATATCTCTTCAGATAATCCCGCAAGAAGGGCTCAAAGACAGACGGTCCGCCAAACAAGTCCTCCAAATACCGCAGGAATGTGGAACCCTTGATGTAAGGCACTGAGGAAAAGGCATCATCGGGTCCACAGTCGGACAGGTTCACCACCAGCTTGCTCAGCTCGGGAGTCTTCTCTAGTTGAGTGCGGAGGCACTCCTGCAGATCCGTGAGATTGCTGAGCATCTTAAAGTCCAGCTCCTTGGCGCCCTGCATCCTGCCCACAATCTTGGACTCCACAAAGACGGTGAAGCCCTCGTTCAGCCAGAAGTGTTCAAAGTTCTTGTTCGTCACCAGATTACCCGTCCAGCTGTGGGCAATCTCATGGGCCACAACATCGGCCAGCGACTTGTCCCCAGCCAGCAGGGTTGGCGTCACAAAGGTCAGGCAAGGATTCTCCATACCACCAAAGGGAAAGGATGGTGGCATCACCAGCAGATCATACTGCTTCCACACATACGGGCCGCACAGCTCCGAGGCGGTCTTCAGCATGACCGCAGTTTCTGAGAACTCCTCTGCGCATTCATCCACAATTGCCTCCTCGGCCCAGACGTTTGAGTTCTCGCCAAGCGGCCGAGAAACCAGTCTGCCAATGGCAATGGCCACCAGATAAGCGGGTATGGGCACCTCCTGCTTGAACTGGGTCTTTCCAGGCTCCTTCTTCGCAATGAGAGCACTCATTACGGTGGTCAGTTCATTGGGATGCTCCACGGTGGCATCGTAGGTGAACTTCACCGATGGCGTGTCCTGGCAGGGAAACACCGAGCGGGCATGGATGGCCTGGCACTGTGAGAACATGTAGGGATGCTCCTTGCCCAAAGTCTGGGCGGGATTCAGCCACTGCAGCCCGCTGGCACTGCTCGAGGTCTCGTAATCGATGCGAACATTGAGGCTATACAAGTGTTTCGTTTCCGATTATTTATGGGGTCTCATCGAGATTAGATTATCTAGCTTGATGTGTGATTCTTACCTGCCCTTAGCCGTTCCTGATGGCAACTCCAGCGTTAGCTTCTGGCCAATATCGTCCACGGGATCGCTGATGAAGTAGTTAATCGGCAGCTCAGTGCCTCCGGCCAGCAACGTGGCATTGGTCACGTTAATGTCGCGGACATCCAGGAGCTGCACGAGGAGATCAAAATGGAATATGTTAAGGAATAGTAGATGACTTTCCAGTTCTTTCCCTGCTCTCCCAGCTTCCACTGCTATACTCACAATCTTTTCCAGATTGCCAGACAAAACATTAAAACGATGCTGGACACTTCCTTGCAGTTTCGTGGCCGCAAAGTCCACCTTCCAGTTGAGAACACTGTGCTCCGTGGTCACCAAATCCGGCTGCGAGTACGAGCTGGGATCTACAGTGCCCAAGCGACCCATTATATAGCGTTTCTGTGTCTGGTAAATCGGGAGAGGTCTGTTTAAAGTGGACAAGCCGCGAGTTTGAACTGAAAGAAGAGCGCAAAAATGGATTTTATATAGGCTTTAAAGTCAACGATAAAGCTTATCGCTAAGAAAACAAAATCCAGCCGCAAGATAAGCCCCGAATTGTGGTTCTTTCCAACAGCTGTTGGTGGTTTTCGGATAGTTCAGATACATTACTTACTATATAGTATATAAATGCAGTGTAGGCGTCGCCTTAGATGGAAAATAAATAATAAAAACGAGATGAAAATGGCAAATCACCGGTGACGCGTAGTGTGACTGTGCATACGAAATACCAAACTTTTCAGCGAAGGTAATACCATTTTAGCTAGTTCGTTGAATGGTCATACTGCTGTGGAAAATAATACCAAATGGCCGCGAAAATCAGTTTTCCGGACTTATATCCGATTTTCAAGTGTTATCCGCCTCGGAAAAGTGTGTAAACAGGTGCCCGAAGTGCTGGGTCAGGTCATTACATTGGGTTTTCACCGGGAAAACCTCTCAAAAGTGTTTAAATCGCATTATAAAAAATGCGCGGGTTTTTTTTTTTTTTTCTGTGTGTAAAGTGTATTTCGCTTAATTACAATTAAATATTCAACATATCAACGCAAAATGTAATCCTTGGGATAATCCATGATGCTGGGGAAGTTCTCCAGCGTCTCCTTATCAATGTGATCCAATCGCTGGGGCACGGGCCGCGGCGTCCGAATCTGATTTGTGACGTTCTGCAGGAGATCGTCGGGCACCTGATCGTCGGCGAACAGGTGGAGTCGCTGCATGGTGTGCCGCCGCTGCAGATTGCCGTGCATGGAGTTGTACACCGCCTTTTTCATCACCAGCGTGGGATCTTTTTCGTGGAGCTGCCAGGCCAGCGTCCAGGAAGCGCCGCCCGGGTAGCCGGTGTGGTGGAAATAGACCCGTTTAACCCACTCGTCGCCGGGCAGGGCGATCTCCCGGGTGTTGATGAGCACTACATGGTCACCACAGTCATCTGGAAAACGATTTGTACGGAGTTTTAGTGGCTGTGCCCATTGGGAATGACTTGCTTAACCTAGAAGTGCACAAGTAACGGTAAAAAGAATGTGTATAGAAAGGGGAAAAGAAATAGAGTTGCAATCAAAATGGCAGCGGTATTTCCAGGCTCTGGAATAATAAGAGAGGGGAATATCGATTGGAAATTGGGAAAATAACCTTTACTGGAAGGTGTAAGAAGTTTCAATGTACATGAAGTACATAAGCACAAGTGGAAATGTGAATGAAACGAAAGCTAATAAATAATATAATAAACTATAACGATATTTTTTTTTTATAATTTTTTTATAACAGAAAAATACATCGAAATTATTAAACTTAAAAAATGTTTATTATATGTATTTAATTTAAGTTTTATTAATAATTTTTGATTGCAACTTAAATGATCTTAATAATTACCATTTTTCAGTTTTATTTATTTTTGTTTTCGTTTTTTTTTACTTGCAGCGGCAGCACCAAAAACAACAACAACAAGGAAAAACACGCCGGTGATGTAATGGCAAGCGAAATGCCTCGTAAAAAAACATGGATATTTCACGTTTTCCGCGTTAAATAGTTCAACGAAAACGTAACAGAATGAAGGACACTTACTCATGGGATGATAAATAGGCTTGTGCAGGCCCATCAGGTGCGTTTTTATTAATTTAGCCGATTCGAACGGATTCTGCCAGGTGCAATCGTAGATGTGCCATGTGCGTGCAAATGTCGCCCATTGCTAAATAATGGATAAAGTTTATTAATTAAACTGTGGATATACTGAATAACACTATTGAGCACCTGCACACGTTTGGCAATGGACATTTTGAAGGATTTTTAATAGAGAAATTGAAGAAAAACTTGAGAACGACTTTTCCGGATTGTTATTCTTCCCTTTGGAGATGCAAGAACTTTGATATATTTAATCGATGTCACTATCGATGTTGTGATCGATATATATATATATATTCGATACTCAATGAATAGCTTGACTGGCCACACTAGCAGAGCAAGCAGTTTAAAATTGACAAAGCAGTGTAAAGTAGTCGTGAGTCAAGCAGTTTACGTTAAAGCAGTCGTAATAAGCAGTTCAATTGAAAGCAGTCGTCATAAGCAGTTTATGTTAAAGCAGTTGGAGCAAGCAGTTAATGGCGGGTAATTTAAACTAAAGTTTCTTACATTATTTTTAAATACTTAATAATTCTCTTTCTTTGCAGTTTTTCTAAAAAAAAAAAACTATTAACTAAGAAGTGTTTAAAATTTCGGTAAGTCCGCATTTATAATATTTCCCAAATCAAAAGTCCATTAGTTTTTTTTTTAAATATTATTTTGTGTTTTTTTTTTTTTGGTTTTGTGGTTTTATTTTCGTTTGTAATTTCATTTAAACATTTTCTATAGTTACTAAAATTACTTATGCACTGTTTATTATTAATATTAGTTAAATATTATTGAAAATACATTAGGTTGTTTTACGAAACAATTTATATAAACATCCTTGGTACATTTTTCGCCTTCACTCGATCTCTATTCCATCTTTCGACCTTTCCGCTTTTATAATGCATTTTCGGAAATGTTTAAAAACTAACAAATAAGTCTAGATTTTAGTTACAGTTTTTCTTTCTCACTTTGTTTTTTTTCAAGTTGTTTTTGCATTTATTTATTTATAATAATTTTGTGTTTTTTTGTGGTTGCTTTTTTTGCCATACAATTTATGGAACTTAAATTGTTAATTCGATTTACAAGTTCTTTTTTTGCCAAGTGCGTGGTTTTTTAGGGTTTATCTCTACTCCTCCGCATATAATACACACGAGTCAGTTTTCTCTTCCTTTTTTGCATTTTGAATGAAAATATATATATTTGTTTATAGTTTTTATTATATATATATATATTTATAAAAGTTATTTACAAATTGATGCTTAATGAAATTCCCTACTTGATGCGAAGTAACGTGTTCTGGTTCTCCTTTTTTTGTTATAATTTTTGTATCTTTTTTAAGGGCAAAAATTATTGTTAAAACTTTTCAAGTGTGTGAGCATTTTTTCTTAAATTTTCCTTCTTCTCCAATATATATATTTATATACCTCTTTTTCCCAACTCAACAAACAACAAAAGGTGTAACAAAATGTGAGCCAAGAGTTCAGATTTCGGAATATATAAAAATGCCAACGGCCTACAGACTATTTTTTGGCACCGAATCAAACAGAAATTAAAATTATAAATTTTATACAATTCAAGACATTAGAATTAAACTTTACACAACACAAATTAGCGGGGTGAGAGTGAGTGTGAGTAGAATAATAAATAAAACAAGGGCAAAAATGATTGCACAAAACCCAAATTTACAGTCCAACTTTGCTAACTCGAAGAGGATTTTTTTTATAATTTGAAATTTATTTTTTATGCTTCATATAATTTGAAATTTAATGGGAAAGCACGTATCTTTAAATGAATTTATTAAAGGGAATTATTTACTTATTAAAATTCATTGTAAAGATCAGATTTTAGTAGCCTTTAAAACCTTTTTTGTTTTTATTTTTAAATTACATTTAACTATGGCTTGAGTCTGTTTAAAAATGTTAAGTCTTCGTAAAAAATGTGGCTTTTAAACTTCTTTAATTAAAATATTGACGATTTTTTGCGAAATTAAAGATTTTAAAATTGTTTGCCGGTAAAACTACATTTTAGGAACTTTTAAGTTTTTGAAACAATAATGTTCATGTTTCTGTGTTTTTTTATTATCTTTTAAATGAATAACTTTTTTAATGACGATTTTGACTTTAATATGTTATGTTAAACATCTTTAAAAGCAAATTTAAATAATTACTTTTAGATATTCAAAGAATATATACTTTAAGTGCATTCTAACTCCAGTTAAAATCTTTAAAAAATCCTTAAAAAATCGTTGAAAATAAGACTGAAATAAATGTTTATAAATTCTTAAAAAATGCCACAAGCTCTCAGAAAAGTTTCTTTGTAATTGCCCTGAATTTACTTGAATTTCGAAATCCTTAATTCTCGTTAGCAAAGTTCGACTGTATCCCTAGTATTTGAATCCCCTTCCTAGAGCACAGCATGTGGGGCGGGGGATGCGGAGCCGGTGACCTTCTGGAGCATCTGCATGAGCTGCTCGGTGGCCGACTGATTGGCGGCCACCACACCGACACCCAGCCCCAGGCCCAGACCTACGCCCACGCCCAGACCCAAGCCACCTGCGCCCCCTGCTCCGCCACCCGATGGCGGCGAGGAGATCGAAGTGCCCGCCGAGGCCGAGGATGAGGACGATGGGGTCAGCGCCAGTTTGGATTCTGGGAGCAACAAAAGAAGCTGGATTAGATTCGGTTGTTCGATTGTCTACGGACTGCCCTGCATACTGTCATCGCTCTCCAGGTAGGTCACGTAGGAGTCGGTGCTGTCCGGATGATGGTGCGACGTTATCCCGGAGTCCAGGCTACTGCCCCCGGGTCCCTGCTGCTGCTGCTGGGGATTCTGCTGGGGATTCGGGTTCTGGTGATTGTGCGGTCCACCTGGGGGCGGCGGATGCTGATGGGGCGGTCCTTGCGCTGGGTGGCCATGCGGATGCGGCGGTAGTACTGGCATCCCATTCAGGTCATAGCCATGCATCTAAGGAGAGAGAGAAATAGGTTTCAAATTAGTCTTAAGTATTGATTTGCAAAGGATTGACTTGATTTTTTATTGAGTAAATAATAATTTGTAAGCTTTAATTATACTTGGAGTTGATGTAAAGCCAACAAATAATATTAGACAGCTTTAAAACAAATTAATGATGACGTTTAGTAATTGCATTTATCATATTGACTGAACTTTATTCATGTTTTGCTTCTTTCTAGTATTTTTAAATGATTTGTATTGCCTTTTACCTGTTTTTTTTAAATTATTATAGTATAGAATTGAATCTTGTTTGTATTGTGTTGATTGGCTTAGCTTATTAAACTTGATTTTAATTTAAAATGAATTTACTTGAGAAGATAAACTATTAGTTACATATTGATTTATGGCTTTTTTGTTGTCTAGGTTTTTGTATTTTTGTTATTTCGTAATTTAAAATTTAGTTTAGTCTGATTAATTTAAAAGAAAATATTAAGTTCTGATATGATCTATCCCTATACCAAATTTCATGACAATCGGAGAAGTATTATATCGAAAATATGTCCCATGTTTTGTTTTTGTATATAATGGTATAATGAAGTTTGTATCTCCCAGTTTAGTTTAGTTTAGTTTAGTTTAGTTTAGAGTTATTAATTTGAAACAAAATATTAAGTTTTGATATGATCTATCCCTATACCAAATTTCAAAACAATCGGACAAGTATTATATCGAAAGTATGTCCTATGTTTGGTATGCATAAGGAAATAATGGTATGATGAAGTTTGTTTCTCCTAGTTTAGTTTATTTTAGTTTAGAGTGATTAATTTGAAACAAAATATTAAGTTCTGTTATGATCTATTCCTATACCAAATTTCATAACAATCGGACAAGTATTACATCGAAAATATGTCCTATGCTTTGTATGCATTAAGAGAGGATATGATGGTATGATGAAGCTGGTTTCTCCTAGTTTATTGTCTAAATGTAGTTCCTGTTTTATATCATAAAAAGACCTCTCTCCTCTCGAGGTTAGAGAAATCCTCAGGTAAAATCTCACCTGATTGACCAGCTGCTGAAATGCGGGCGTGTGCGTATTGATTGCCCCATTGCTGTCGAGATCGGCATGGAGGGCAAAGTCGCTTAAGGCTTTCCACGGCGGTTGATATGTCTGCACATCGAGTCCCTGCAGATTCAGTGGTGAGTCATGTCTGACCGGTGAGCTGGCGATCATGGGTATGCCCTGCATGGCGCCATAGCCCAGCTTTCGACCCTCCTGAGAGGAGGGTTAAACAAGTTAGAGAAAATCCCATTGGATTCGGAGTGGGGCAGTCATACCTTCTCCTGTTGCATCTGCAGCTTCATTTGGATGGTCTTCTTCTTGTCCTTGCAACGCTTGTTCTGGAACCAAACACGGATGACGCGGGGCGAGAGACCCGTCATTTCCACCAGCTGCTCCTTCATGAGCGCATCAGGTCGCGGATTAGCGTTGTAACAGGTTCTGCAGAAGGGGTTTATCGTAAATATTTAAATATTTAAAAAATAAGCTCCAAAGTAACCTATTTAAAGGTTCCAAAACTAAACTCACCTGAGCGTGTGCAGCTGCTTCTCATTGAGCACGGTCCGTACTCGCGTTGGCTTGCCATCCGAGGGACCCGAGGGTCGCTTTTCCCTAATACTTTTGTGTGAGCCCGATTCACTGCCTGAATCTGCAAATGGCAAATAAAAAACAAAGGAATTTCATCAATTTGTTGGCTATTTTTGGCAAAAAAATCAGCCTTTTGAAGTGCCGTTTCGGAAGATACCACACTTTGGGTTCTTTTTTGCTTCTATTTTCTATTTTTGTTTGCACCCAAAAAAAAGAAGAGATATATATAGCGCCAAATATGTAGATCAAAGGCACACGCGCTTCGATCTTTTGGGTAATTAAGTCGTGTTTCACATCCCCCGAAACATGAAGTTATCTAGTTTTCGATCGTTCTGATCAATCCAATTCGATGTCTATCACTGGCGGTGTGTTTCTATTGAAGGAATTTCTCTTTGCCATATTTTGGCTCTTATCGAGGGTTGCAAATTGCCAAAAATAGCTGAGAAACTGTTGGGCAAATCAAGGTTACTATTTTTTACAGTGTTTGGGGTACCTTTAAATCGGAGAGAAGTTAGTTTTTTGCTTAGGAAATCATTCTTTTTATATGAATTATTAAATAATTATATTCTAAGGTTAAATTTGAATAGTTTGCATGGTATTTATTGAGAATGAAGATATGAATATACATAAATAGCAAAGCCATTTAAATAATAAGTAAATTTGCTAGTAAAAAAGAGTTAAGCAAAGTATTTCGTGGGACTTTATTAATCAAAATATTGATTAAGCATAAAAATGTACTACAATTTGTAAAGAAATTTAACTTTTTGAATAGTTTCAATAATTATATTTCTTATTTAAAAGGCCAAAGTAAATAAATAAATGAAAAAATGATCACTTTCTTAGTTTTCTAAGAAGCAAAACTAATTCTGTTCAACTGATTAAGTTTTTAACTTCTTTAAATACTCACTTCTCACTCACTAACTTCTTAAGACACGAACTACTTAGTTTCATAGAATGTTCCCCTATTTATACCCTCAAAGTCCCTTATTTATTCCCCATTATATACCCATTTCTCTCAGTGCCTCAGTGACTTCAAAGTTGCCGCGATCTGTGCGCGTTTGGCAAACACTCGAGCAGACTGCATGCCGTTTTCGAGCTGAGCACAAATAAACGGCAAGTGAATATGTGTACATATATGCCGAACTATGAATGGGGACTCGACTTGGCTGATTGATCATACGACCCGTCGACCCATCGATCCATCGATCCATCGAACCGTCGATCGAAGTCAGTCAAACAAAAAGTCCAATTCCCAAGAAGTTGCTTGTCAATGTTTGCCCGCTTGAATGCTTCAATGCACTGTGAAGTTTTTGTTTGTCCAGAAAGCCGGAGCTCCTCTAGGAAAACTCTTTGCAAAATGACGCGGAAGTGGGGGTTCGAAGGAAGGGGAAAAAAGCCACACACGTTTGGCACCCATTCGTTTGACAACGCCGCCCCATGTTGATAAGGTTTCCTGGCCAACTCGTTCTTCGTTCTCTGGTTAAACAATGAGATTATGTTGACGATATGGTTTGACAATTGTCGAACATTGTTTGACGTTTGCCGATTCCTATTGACACTCCTTCCGCCCGCTGCTATCTATCTATCAGTTACAAGGATGTAACGCTGTTTTCTTTTCTGAGAACAAAACCCGATGCCGAACCATTCACAAGAACCCAACCAATTTGGGCTAATTAGGATTGGCAATCTCTCTCTCACTCTCATTTCGGTGGAAAAATGCGGCGGGAAAATCGCAGTTGATAGTGGAAAAGGAAATGGTCTCTGGTGGCTTCCATAAAGAAAATGTGAAAAAGATAACTGTGGGTTGTTTGGAAGCTAAACTGGGAAAACAAGTTTGGAATTACTACTAATTACCTTGATTTTTTTATGACCAAGATTTTTATGTTTGCCAGATAAATTATAATTTAAGTATTGGGGAAGATTTCAAATGGAATTATAGTTCTTGTCTTGAATTAAGGTGGGTTTTTGGAAGAAGTTAAAGTCAATGAAACATCTCAGAAGTAAACTAAATAAATATATAACAAGGATTTCCCTTGATGGAGTTAGTATTGAGATACATTTCCACTCACAGAGGGCTAATAAAAGCCTGACTTTCAGACAATGAAAGATAATATTTCCCCAACTTGAAGAGCTTTATGCTAAAGGGTTTCTTTGTTATGATAAATAAACAGAAACCTCAGAGAACCCTTCTCTGGTAATCAAATAAAATCTCTCTGGAAAGCCTTCCTTCTTCTTTTGTTTTTCCCCCAAAAATTTAGCAAGTGAAGCACCTGAAATCAAGTATCCAAAGTCCACACTTCACTCACCTGACATTGAACCCAATTCGCTGGAATGGTTGTTGTTGCTAAGGTTGGTATTGTTGTTGTTACTACTGCTAATATTGTTGTTGCTCTCCACCGAGGAGGAGGTGAGGCTGCTCTGCGAGGATTTCTCGAGAACATCGTGATCCTCCTTGCAATATAAAGCTCCGGCATCGCGTAACGCGAACTCATCACCTGTTTTTTTTTGGGTTGGGAGTAAACAATGCGTTGTTTGTTGAGTAAATATTAAAGGTAAAGGCAAGTAAATTGACAAAGTAAATGAAAAAACAATAATTAATAATAATATGAGAAGGAAACCCACCTGGCAGCAATTGCCGCGCACACGCCGAGCAGCGAAAGCACTCGATGTGAAAGATTTTCGTTTTGGCCCGCATCACAAAATCATTTTTGCTGAAGGAGTTGCCGCATTTATCACATTTTGTACCAAATAATCTGAAAATGATGGATTTAAATAAGATAAATATGAGTATTTATGTAACGAATAATATAATATTTAATATTTCTGAAAGCATTCTTTGATTTAAATAAAATAACCTATCCTAACATTAGTTTAAATTAATTTGTTGTACTGAAATCTCATTTTTTATTGCTTAAAGTAAGGAATATAAATATATATATATATAATATTATAAATATATAAATGACATAAAAATAAGGTTATTTTTCTCCATTAAATATGAAATATTTTGAAGTAAATTAATTGCTTTAATTAAATTATTCATTCAAGGTTATTCTCATTACTGGCTATAACCTAATTATGGCCTTACTCTTATTATTGATTGCTTATAATTTTCCTAATTCAAGGTAGCACTTAAATTAATAAGCTTAAAGCCGTAAACAAATAAGGCCATATCCGTGTTAAATAACTATTGACTCTCAAAACAGGAAGTTAAAATATTACAATGAATCATATAGGAAATTTAAATAGAAATTATACATTTAAAAATTTTATAATAATTTTTATAAGTTTTTTTAAACATGTATAGATGTATTAAATATTAAAAATCTATATAAACCATTTATTTCATTTGCTTTTAGGATAAAATCAAATATTTTTAATTTAGAATGTATACACAAGTTTTAAGTAGATAAATGTCTTTACATAGAATATCTTTTTCACTTTCGTAATTATACAAAATGTTTAAGGAAACAAGCAAAATTACTGCTCTGTTTTATAAACCAGGATCTACAACTTGATATTTCCTCCAAAGAACTATTATTTTCAAGGAAATAAGATTTTCTTGCAATCACTGTAACATAAAAACCCCATGATTAAAGCTTTGTAAAACGCAGCCTTGAATAAGTTCACGAAAAGGGTCGAAATTTTGTACAAAAGGGAGGGGCTAGGTGGGGGAAGAGGAGCTCGTTTATGGCTATAAAATAAAAATTCTTTTGTCAGACTTTTGCCGACATTCGCGACCACATTCATCGATGACTGCGAGTGAGTCGAGTCGCATGCTCATCAATCATCTGAGCGCGCCGTGTGTGCTGCTGGTGGAAAAGTGTTAATTTATAGCTTTGCACGTGTTAATCAATTATTCAAAGATTTGCATGGCAAATAGTTGCGACCGATAGCCGGCTTTATGATGGCAAAAAAAAAGAAACACAAATAGTATAAAAAATACAACAAAAAAGAGGGGCTGTTTCTTTATTTTATTTTTTATTGCACGTCATACATTTAGCGATGATGGAACCCCAAAGTAGCGGCTACTTGGACCAGCTGTTGATCAGAACATATAGTATATAGTCTCTAGATCTCTGTAAATCTGGCATCTTTGGGCTAATTGGATGGGCTAACAAGGCTGGCTAACAGCAACAAAAACGAAGAAAATAATAATAATAATACTCGTAAATAAAACGTTTGCCGGACGCTACAATTGTGAAGATTGAAAAACTGATGAAAAGGCCAAAAGGCGCATGACAAGCCGAGTTGCGGGTTTCGAGGGCTGAGCAAATATTCTCTGGGTTTCAAAAAATCGCTTGGGTTGAGTGGAAATTAGATAATGTTTTCAAACTGGAAGCTACCTATGGGGTTTCCTCACGAGTTCTATTTGGTGTCAGGGTTCAATGGGTTGTTGTTTTAGGGGAAATTTAAGAGTAAACTTGTTAGTTATAGATTTGAATTCATAATTGGATAGTTAGGTATCTTACTTAACATTTTCTAGAAGCAAAACATTTAACAAAACTCATTTTAAACCTTGTAAACATTGTAGCAAAGTGTTGTTATTTCTTTATTAATTTATCCCCATTTTAACCATGATTTCTTGTGTATTTATTGATTGATATTTTGGTTTAAGTCTCACCTAACATAATCACGCTTGCAGTAGGTTTTGCCATCGCGCACGAAACACGTACAGCTCTCGTCCAGGAATTGCCTGCACTCCTGGCACTTCAGACATGCCGCATGCCACTCGAGATCGGGGGCAACCCGCAAGATATACTGATCGTGTATTTGGCCGCCACAGCCAACGCAATGCGACAGGCGTTGTTTTTCTGCAGAATGAAAATGGGGAGAAAAGGAAAATTCGTATTAGTATTTATGATTTTATTTTGTGACAGGAAAAAATAATGCCATGGAGAGATTGAAAGTTACAAAATGTTCATTGATTGACTAAGGAAAAGTAACAGGGAAAGGTACAATATCTTAGAGATTGTTTCTCTAGTGCAAATATTAATAATAACTATAAATATAACTATATATACCTATTTATAACTATAATATAACTATGTAAGTAATGTTTTTAAGAAGGTATTACCAAGAAAACTTATAAGATTTAATATTTAAAGAGATATATATATTTTCCTACGATTTTTTCTTATCCCAAGTATTAAATATTTTGTTTCTATATTGATTAATAAGCTAAGAGAGCTTATAATAATTTATTTACATTTTAGAGAAAAGTCAGAAGATCTATTTTTGTATATCTTACATCCATAATATGAAACTTTCTTTTTTATATTTGATTATTTCAAAATATACTCCAGTTATTCCTTGCCAAAATAATTCCTTATTAAATAAATCTTTCTACAAACCAATTATTTATAATTATATAACCAAAACTAAATCTCAACAAATAATTCTTAGCCGTCGGCAAAAAAACCTTCAGATCCCAACTAACTTGTTTCACTTGCAACTTTTCCCCTGATGTATCCACATTTTCCTCGCTTATTTCAAATTGCTTGCCTCAGCATTTTGTTTTTGTTTTTACCAATTTTTTTATTGCTGCAAAAACTTAAATTCATTTTGCCAATTATGCCTTTTGGAAACGTAAACAAATAGCAAAGTGAGACAGCAAAGACGGCGCTAATTAACAAACTGTTATCAAATAATCCCAGAGTTTTTCCCTCCGGGCAGGGAAAACGGCGAAACTTTCTACTGCCAAAAAGTTTTTCCCTTTGCCATGGGGGAGGGGGGAAAAGCGAAGGAAAAACATTTGAAAAATTCATAAATCCTGGGCGAAAAACGCAGCAACCATTTTCAAGTATTTAAGTTGAGTTTTCCTCTTCCCTTTCGAAAAAAACTTTTCCTGCCAAAAGGAAAAGAAGGAGCAAAAAAATCAATGCAATCATTGCCACATTATGTACAAGCCCCGCCCCATTTCTACTCCGATTTTGCCCCCATTTTCCCCGCTTTGGATTTCCCAAGCACAAACCCTTAGTAAATAAAAATATATATGTATATATATATGTGCTGCTGCTGCCTGTAATCCTTGGCAGAGAAGGACACGACATACAAAAAAAAGAGGGAAAACTTTTTCCTGCTGCCGATGAAAAATTAAGAAAAACTTTGACGCGCGTTTAGCACGTTTTAAATGTTTCGTTGCCTCACGCACACACACACAGCACACTCACACACACTCACTCTCTCGCCAGCACACACAGATAAAATCTGTATCTGTTGCCTTGCTTGTATCTTTGTATCTTTGTATCTTTAAACGTGGCCGCGTATCTGCCAGTGTGTGTTTTTTTCTTGTATCTTTTACGTTGTTGGTGCTGTTGTTGTTTCTGTTTTCAAGGGGAGTGGTTAGGGGCATCCAAAGGGGGGTCAGGGCGGTGTATCTGTATCTTGCGTATCTTTCGCACTCGCTGTAGCTACACATGAATTATTTATAAAGGCGGAGCAGACAAGTTGCTGGCTGCTGCCGTTGTCCATTGCTCTTGTTGTTTTTCTTATTGTTGCTGCTGCTCCCTCGGTTATATTCTTTTCCTTATTTCTTTTTCGTTTTTTTTTTTGCGAATTTTATGTGGGTTTTTGTAATTTTTTTCGAGGTTTCTGGATGCTCTTTAAAGGGGGTACAGAGAATTTCGAAAGCCAATCAGTCAAAGATATTAAATTTTGTAAGAGCAGAATATGATTAAAAATTCCGGAAATTGTTTAAAGCTCTCATAGTGCTAGGTAAAAATAAAAAATTATGAAGAAACTAAATTTTTAAATTGAAAATATAAAAAATTTTGAATATTATTAAATTAATATTATTTCTAGAAGCATTTTTTCTTTTTATTCTACAAAAAAGTACCTGAAATTAACATTTGAAGTCAAGAAGTGGGTTTCTGACTTATATCTTCTTTATTATTAAGAAACTCTGCATTTATTATTATAATTTTTGATTTTATAGGGTATTTCCTAAGTTCTCTTTTAATCTCAGCAAAAAAAAAATGTAGAAAGCCTTCGCACTTGGCTTGTAATTTTTTTGCTGGGTATTTGTTGCTCTTCAAGCTGCAAGTACCTTCAGATTCGGATTCGGATTCAGACAGACGGACAGACGGACAGACGGACAGACAGGCGGACAGACGGACAGCCGGCATTTACTTCCATGTTTCAGCCTCCAATTGCCGAGACTCTTTCTCCATTCTCCCCTCTCTCTCACTCTCTCTCTCCATCTCTCTCTCTTTAAAAGTATCTTTTGGATAGCTTGGGGGCATGTGTGCGCCTTTTTTCTTGTTTTCCTTCTTTCCCTGTATTTTTATATATCTTTTTTTTTTGCTCTTCAAAATGTTGCTATATAATACTACCCTATATAGGCATGTGTGATTTTGGGTGACTGTGTGCGTGTTTCTGTTTTCTTCACTTTTTTTTTGGGAGCCACCATTTTTGCGATTTTATTCTTTTTTTTTGGGGGGGCAGCTTCCTTTGTTGTGTGTCTGCACGCGAAGAAAAATAATTTTTTTTGTGTTTTAACTAAGTACGCAGATTTATAAACCTCATAAAAACTAGCATAGGAGTGGTTTCCGAATTAAATTTAAAGCTTTTTTGACTGAGTTATGAGTTTTTTAAGCTCTGTTTGGTCGCATAAAATTGTCATAGAAAATTATCGATAAATATCGAAAGCAAATATTAGAAGCTTAGTTATAATCGATTTCCGATTCGATCTTATAATTAAATTGCGATCTGCAAAGGTATTTTAATTTTGGCTTCCCAATCCTATCTTGCTCTTCCTTTTTTTTGTGTTTTTATAAACTTCTGACATTTCGCATTTGGAAACTATGTAGTATTTCCTTGCTACTGCTTTTGTATTTTTTTCGCATATTTTTTCTTCCTTTTCGAAGGAGATAGAGCATTTTGGGGGGCTACGCAGCTTGTGTGGTGCCTTTGCCATTGCCTCCTGCCTTAATGATCCTGCGCAGTTCGTTTTCATTTTTCTTTTGCCACACACACACACTTACACACTTACACACAGATACACCCGCAGCCATTATGGCTGTAATGGGAATTTAAGCGCAACTCCTGCGCCGCCTGTGTGCTGCTTTTCCGCTTTGAATGGGCGGGGGGTTTTTCCGCTTTTGCGGCGTATCTTTTGCATGTTATGTTGCCATTTTGTTGGTGGCTCCCCAAATGGGAGCAGAAGCAACCCCACTTTTTGCTTTTATTTATTTTTGTATCCTAGGGGTTGAAGCGTCGCGGTTCTTTCTGTTTTTCGCTTTTCCGGGGGATGTGGACAGACCGAGGCACACATTGGACCGAAATGCAATTTTGTCTCGTGTTGTCGTCTATGAATTTTTGCGACTCTGTGTCGGCGGTTTTTCCAGGGGGGGGGGGGAGGAGGGGGGTTAATGCGGCCTACCAGGCGGGGGTTAAAGGGGGAGGCACATGCGGCCACTGCGGCTTTTTCACTTTTAAACGAGGAAAACGCTTCCAAAAGCTGCGTGTTTCCCATTTTCGCCTGTCACTTGGTTGCTCTGTCTCTCCTCCCCATTCGTTTTTCCATTTCCCCCCCAGTTGTATCTTTTCCCATTTAAATAACGAAACATTTTCCTACCTACGACTGGCACTTGATCTTCTGTGTCTGTGTCTGTGTGCAGGTTTTCACGTTTTATGCTCGAAAAAGGTGTTCGAAATGTGTTTTAATGGCCGCACCTTTTTGGCCATTGCTCTTGACCTCGTCCACCTTTATGCGAGTTTGCACATGAGGTAATTGCCAGGCGATCGGAAAATCTAAAGGTTGATTTAACTCTGAGAACGCCAACAGCTGTTCCTTGGGCTTGGCTTTAAAATGGGTGTAAAAATTAAAGGGGTCTTTAAAGGGGGTTAAACATTAAGTGAGGCAGGTTTTTGAGTGATTTTACTTAGAGTTTTATTAAGAGTTTCAATTTATAAAATGTTTAATGAAAATATACTTTTTTTTTACTTTTTAAATATCAATCAAATGTCTTAGAACTTATTTATGTATGTTTGGTACAGTTTTGTAATCGAATACAGTAAAAGGTACAAATTAGTAGCATTCTTAAAAGTCAATAAATGTACATTTTAGGTGTTGATGAATTGAATTTAGTATAACGAACTTCAATTTATCTGAAAGATATAGTAAACTTTCATATTGAACTCAGCCTGATAATAAAATTTGAATATAAGCGAATTTTCAGCATTTTCTAGTTTAAATTTATGAAAGGAAGTATCATTTTATACTTAATACATTTAATAAGCAATCCTTAAACTCATTATTAATACTTTTTCATTATTTAATACTCTTAAAAGTATCCCTCTTCAATCACAACACTTTCCTGCTTGAATAAAACCATCTTAAAGTCACTTTTATCTGTGAACTACAAGCGTGGCGTTTCGTGTCTGCTGATGGATAGGTGATAGATGACTTAGACTTGAGTTATTGAGTTTCTTGATGGTACTTTATGCATATTAATACTTATGCATATATAGAGAAAACGCCCACCGAGAAGTGAGTTGAAAAGATACAGAAGATGTCCCTCCATTTTCCATGGACCAAGCCCCTCTAACTCTGTGGCTCCTCCGGCGCCTTATCAGTGTCGGCAATCTTTCAAAGACCAAAAAATATACAAAGCAAAAAAGAGGAGAGAAATAAGGGGAACAAGTAGAATTGCAGTCAAATCAACTGGGGCTACTTCACAGATACAGATACAACACACCGCACGCACACTCGCAGATACAGATACAATGCAATGGCTGCCCCAGCATCTTCTTTTCCACCACTCTCCCCCCTGCTGCAGCTTGTTGCTGTTGCTCGACAAGGGGCAACATG